GCCAACTTTAACATGACGTTTACAACGCTCTTACTGCGCGCGTTTTGTGTGGGTTTCCGGCAATGAGTGGAATTACCGAAATAAAAAAAATTATAAATGCGTTTTTTTGTGTGTGTGTGTGTTGTTGTCCCAACAACACATAAAAACAGGTTTTATAATAAAGCAACTCGCATACAGAAACAGTAAAGTTAGAGATTAAAAATGAGATTAACGCAATTAAAAAACATAATGCGCTAAATATGACTGTAATTAATTAATCGCAATTAACGCGATAATTTGACACCCCTATATATATATATATATATATATATATATATATACATATATATGTGTGTGTGTGTGTGTGTGTATGTATATATATACACACACACACGATAAATATATATTGTTCCATATTTCATATATTGAACGATAAATTGATATAGTAATTATTGTGACAGGCCCAGGCTACAGCACAACTCTCAGCATTTTTTTTCCAATAGGTCCGAAGCTGAATTTTGTCCTGTTGAGTTTTGAGTTTGTTGTGACTAACTGGTGACAAATGGGACAACATGTGGGGGTCACAGGACATACTTCTCTTTTCCAGGGCTCTGTTGAACTGATAAAACTCAGTGTGATCTCATTCATGTTTTGCTGTTGTTGTAGCTTGTGTGTAGGCGTCTGCTAAAGAGGCAGTTTTCTTTCATACTGAACAAATAGCACCCACATGAGTAACATAAGGAGAGTGAAATGGAAGATTGTACAGTTTAAAGAGAATTGAGTGAAACACTATAGACCAAATGCTATAACATATTCACATTACCTATATTGCCTTTTTAAGTAAACCAAGACCCATTAATTAAAGGTCCTATATTACACAAAATTGACTCTTGTGAGTTTTTAGCCATGTTAAAATGTTCCTCCTCAAAAACATACTTAGAGTTGTGTTTTGATAGTTTTATTCAGACAAGTTTGAGTAAACCTGTATAATTAATTTGTCTACATCTCCAAAGCTCAAAATGCATTGTTCCACCTTGTGGTGTCATGAAGCAGTAGCAGTAGCTTTCGAGTTAAGCGCTATCTTTTACCTTTTGTTCAGTAGAGATTAGCAATTCCATGGAAATCATCCAAATGACTCTAGTGACGGTTTAACAACACAGTTGGTCACTTTCTGTATAACTACATGACATCAGTGTTTTCTGTTTCACTGTCGTATGTGTGAAAGAAACAAAATACAACTCCAGGTCTGTTTTTGATGAGGAAACAACATTATAACAAAGATTAGAAAGCAGTGTAATATTGTCCTTGTGAGAACCATATTGAACAGTTTCATCAATTCTAATCAACTAAATTCAAGTCAATCAAGCAACATCTTTTGGCATTTCATGAGAAGAGAAAACAAAATTTAAATTGAACAATTCTGCCTTAATCTAACACAGATCTGATGATTTGTTGGGACCGTGTTAAGAGCCTGTTCCCTCTGCAGATTTCACACATTAGCATAAACACTAGCTTCTCTTATCTGGTGAACGCAGCCTAATTGGATTGTGTGGGTCTAATGGGAATAATGTAATCTCTTATTCTTTATTGCTTATCACCGAGGCCTCCAGGTGTGCACAGTGACAGCACCAACATGAAAAGATAAACTACCACTGGCCTTGTTTTTATCCCTGCTGTGAGCTTATACTGCAACCTCTTTGTGCATCATAAACTTAACTCTAAAAATAGCCACGCTGATGGTAAGTTAAGTTAAATATAGATCAACCATTACAGAGTGATTGACTATTCATGGAGTCATTATGAGTTATACTTTATCTAAAGTGGTGAAATACATGCACATTGACTCTGTATGCCTAAAACAGTACAGTTAAATGTTCAAATTAGGGATGCACCGATACCGATACTGGTGCAGAATATTGGCGTCAATATTGAAAAATGGGTGAAATGGGTATTGGCATTGTGCTTTCTGGTGGAAAGTCTATCAAATGCTTTTCTCCGTGCTTATCTATTATTTCTTTGTCGGGAATGCTTCACAGTACGGTATTCAACTTTTCTGTCTTCATAGAGACCAAACCAAGCCAAGTTGCAGGTCAGATCTGTGGAGTGGCACCCCTGCTCACCATCAGAATGTATTTTTGAGCTATAAAACCACCTGTAATTGAATAAATGTAAGTTAGAGCTGTTTAATGTCATACTGTGGAACATTCCAGGCAGAGCAATGACATCTCCATAGAAGCAGACAGATGACAGACCCCAGCCAAAAAGTTACATACATTTTTTATATTATTCATATTATTCATTCATATTATTTAAAATTTTATACATATGAAGCTGTTCAGTAGTTATTTGAAGGATAAATAACAGTTGCATAATACAATTGGATCTCTTGTGTAATAATTAACTGTGTTTATGGAAATAAGGGCCATTTTCTGTCCTTACACTGGTAAATATCGGGCACTGGTCGATATATCGGTATCGAAAATGAAAAAGGTAGATCGGTGCATGCCCAGTTAAAATGTCGCAAAATGACAAATCATGTTTGATATTACCTGTTTTACTTGACAATCCAGCTGATTTTGTAAAAAAAATAATCAGGTACAAAGTGCAAAAGGCATCTTCTGTCCCCCATTTGTTATATTTATATTATTAATATAATGGCTATTCCTAAAATTACTGTAATGATTGATGCTTTTACCAATTACTTTTACTTAGTAGGCCTATTACAACAGGCAATTTGTTTTTGTCTTACTAAAAATAAATTAATAAATAAATTTTTAAAAAAGCCTTTCAGTATTAATTTCCCACCCCCAAAAAAGTTCACATTTCTTCCTCCAAAGTCTGAACTCTGCTCTTCATCACATGCTTTTACTGAAGATTGGCTGTAGACATTATTAAAAAAGACCTAAGCTTATATCATTGACAGTTAGTAATTACCAAATCTTTATTAAAATGTAATTAATGCCACAACATGAGACCAATCTCAGCAGTTATCTTTAGCACTTGCAATTTCATTCTAAAGTTTCCCAAATTACCATCTTAATTATCTGTCTTGCTAAAATAGATTTCTTATCTGTTAAATCATTTGTTGTTACTCATCAGTCAACCTCATCAAAATCTTCCTGCACGATCACCCCTATGGACTGTTTTTGTGCACATTTTTACATTTTTAGAGGAGAATATGTGAAACTTTGCAGTTTTGCCCGTAGACTTTTATCAACTTGTCTGGTTGCTGAATATTCACGACCAAACTTCATGAGAAAGGTGGAAGTGGAATCCCCTATAGTGAGAAGTGCTCTCAACAGTCAACTTCTGCTAATGAATTATTAACCATTTCAATTCAAAATACAGTCTCGCACACCCGCTGCAGTGAAAACATCCATATAGTTTTTAATTATCTGAAAATGCCTTGTCAGATATGTTAACTTTTCCTCATCATTAACATACCTGGAGTTGTGTTTAGTTTCATTCACACATGTTTAACACACAAACCCTGCATATTTAGGCTGATTCTTCTGCTCCACCTTGTGATGTGATGTCATGTAATGCAAGAAGTACTCCACTGTGTTTTTAAACTCCATACACCTTCACTAGAATTATTTAGATAATTTCAGACCTGGAATTTTTCTCTACTAAACTAAAGCTAAAACTACCAATTCATGACATCACACGGAGGAACAGAGCATTTTGATCTTTGGAGATATAAACAGACTAATAATAATGGATTACTCAAATATGCGTGAATGAAACAATATACAACTCCAGATATGTTTTTGATGAGAAAAACATATTATAACAGATTAGAAAACAACATAATATATGCCCTTTAAAAGATACCTTCAAATACATTCAGTCTTATTGAGAGCATGGTTGCCTCTCCGCAGATGTGTCCAATGTAGTCCAATGTACTCCCCTAAAAGAAAATGACATTATCTTCTTACAATTTAAAATAACGTTTCCATCTGCGTCATACTGTATTAGCTTAAACTTTCACAACCTACATTTCTGCAGCTGCCCAGTTTATTCATTCAGAGGTGGATGAATAATTCACTAGACTTTTCCAGTGACATTTCGCACCGAGTCCCTGAGCCGTTTCTCTAAGATATTTTTTCCTTCTGTCTCTCGTCCTCTTAAACTCCTCTCATGTTTTACACTCACAGTTTCCACACAGGTGTCAATCCACCGTGCTCCAACCTTTAATTCTGCTGCTATGAAGCTATTATAGACATGATTCAATGACAAAATTAGCCTAGGTGTTCTGATTTGTGAATGGTTATATTTAAAAGTACACTACGTCACTTTTCTGGTGGAGCTTTTGTTACCTGTTCATTGTCTCTATGGGAATGTAATTGTTCTGCCTGGAATGTTCCACAGTATGACATCAAACCTACCTATCTTAGATTTGTTCAGTTATTAATTAAGTGTCTTAATTGCTCAAAATTATCTTGAAAAGCTTGCATTCCTATTGCCTCTCCACATATCTGAAATGTAACTTGGCCTAGTGATGTCAATTGCTTTTCTCCAAGGAGATAGTTAAGTTTAATGCCATACTATGAGACTACAAGGTAAAAGCAGTAGCCTAATCTAAATGGAGACAAGAAAGTGGCAGATTCTCCACCTAAAAAGTTACATAGTGTTCCTGAAAAGGCGCTATACCTGACTTTTACTGGCCTAAAAACATGAAAAACAGAACTAGTTCATTTTAAACAAGTTGCAGGGGTACAAAGCTATTCCTCTCTTACTTTATACACTCCAAGCATCCTAATTATTAACTGCTAAGAGTTTATAAATCCTTTTTCACAGCTCTCAGATGCCAGCTAGCATGCTTACATGCACTTCCTGGTTATCTGACAATATAATGCTTTCTAATTGGATGCAGACAGCATGTAGCAGACTTATTTTGTCCTTGTGAGCTGCTTATACAATCTATCTGTTCTGGGGAAAGACAGATTTTGCTAAAATATGTGGGAAAAGTGGGTACAGGACATTTAAGGTAATATTTAAAATCACTTTCTTTTTTACAGACTCAAAGCTCTGGTGTCGACAGGAGGCCGGAGTGTCCAAGCTGCCTGTGACTGGTGAGTTTCCATGGGCAGATGTTTCCACAGATGTTCACTATGACTCACTTCTTTGAAAGTGGGTTACACTGCCATCTACTGGTGCATATCTTAGATACTTATTACTGTGCCCTTATTGTACACCTGATTTGTGTGAAAAACAGGTTAAGACTACCACCAGTCACACACCACATTCAAACACATGTCAAGGTCAAGGGTGTAATATTATGGATAGAACTGCTTAGAGCTGAACTAAAAACCTTATAGTTATAATACGTCATACCACATGCTGACATTAGAACTCAAGTAGTTTAAACAAATTTCACAAAAGTCCAGGTAGGAATATTTCTAACCAGTTTTATTAGACCTAGACTTTATTGATCCACAAGAGAAATTCTTTGGACACAGTAATATAATAACAAAGAGTAAGAATATAAATGGTAATAATAAATTCAAAATAAGTTGCAAAAAAGGCAAAGAACTCTCAAATGAGGCATAATTATACAAGTGTCTAATACTATAATATAAGTAAGAATGAAAATACAAAAAAGAAGAAATAACTTAAAATTCTTGGGGGGCAAATAAAAAATATATGGGGCCAAATAATATAAATAGCATACTGTATTATTAGAAAAAACACATTCACATTTTTGTTTTAGATATTTTGAGATTTGAGCAAAACGAAAGTTTTCACTTTTCCTGTGTGTCCAGGCTGTTCTCCCACGTAGATGACCCGTTCTTGGATGACCCCCTACCTCGTGAGTTTGTGCTGTACCTCCGCCCCAGTGGACCCCTCCAGAACCAACTGTCCCACTTTTGGCAGCAGAGCCGAGTCACCTGCGGAAAAAACAAGGCCCACAACATCTTCCCCCACATCACACTCTGCCAGTTCTTCATGGTCAGTTTAGATACTACGAAAATACACGTGTACACTACAAAGTAAACAAAAAAATATATTTTTACTTAAGGTGTATGGATCATTTGCAGTGACATCATGCTGAGGGTAGTCTACATGTATCTCTAAAGGTGGAATGTTTAGGAGTTACCAGGGTGGCAATATGCACACATTAGCAAACACTGTCAAAAAACTTTTAGATTATCTGAAAACTCAAGAAAAATAAATGAATGAATTTGAAAACAAGACATTTTCAGGCATCTGTGGTCAATATGAGCATTCATCATGGTCCTGTGTAGGAGTTTGAATTTCAGCAAAAAATCTGTATTAATTTTTACTTAAAGGTTGTATGGAGGATTTTTTTTTGTTTCAAGTTGTCAATGATAGCATTATAGAGATGCAGTAGCCTTGTAATTATGATGACCAAAAAAAAGAGAATAAAAATTCATCAACTCTGGACGTGGTGGGGCTAAACATTTGCCAATAGATAACAACACTGCCTCGTTATCTGTTAGCTGACAGGCTGTCAATCAGTCTCCCTACGTTTCTAGCGTAACTGACTTGCCTGCGCGCCGCCGGTACGTGGTTTACGTACGCCTGTCAGGCAGTCCATAGACGCAAGCCGCACAGACGCTGTTTACTCCACCAACGCAACAGTTCTTAGCGGCTTTTTTTTACCTATATCTTCCTCGCAGTTCGCACAAAGTTTGTTGCAATGGCAGACAAGAATCCAGGAGCAGTTAGCTGCAAAAGAAAGTCCGTTTTTGAGGTCGCTGAAAGAAGAAGACAAGGGGAAAAGCAGCGAAGCCAAACTAAGGTGATTCTTATAGATTCATTCCAGCGATGGCGCGACTGAAGCAGACGCAGGGTCTAAAGACTGACGCATTGGTCGCCAAATTACTCCTAGACAGGTCACTTCTGCTTATTATGAAAACGTACTTTATTTCCAAGAGCTAGTCAAACGTTTTTCAGGACACAAAAGCGATATCCTATGTCTGAAAACGTAATTTTCAAGGCAAAGAAAGAGTTCGCTTGCTGCTGCGTGTTGTAGCTAGTTAATTCGCACGGAATCTCCGCGCAACCTTCTCTGCTCCCCTTTCCTACTCCTGTCCCCGCTGCCCGTTCCGCTCTTCCCCCTGCTCCTCACTTCTCCGGGCACGGAATCTGCGCGCACCGCTCCCCTCTCCTCTCTCCTCTCTCCTCTCCCTGCTCCCTGCTCCGCTCTTCTCCCTGCTCCTCACTTCTCGTCCGCGAACGAAATGTCCGCACACCCGCTCCCCCCGCTCCTCACTTCTCCGCCTTGCCTAACCAACACTGTAGTTAGTTGTTTACAAGTCATGTGCAGCGCACCGGCTGTAAACAAACCTGTTTCTGGCGTAAAGAGGAGGCGGGAGGAGGCGTTTCTACGTAGGGAGCTGTAGGGGAGGGGGGGTGGTTTCACGCATGCGCAACATTTGAAAAAGGACAAACAGTCGCTGGATTTCTCGTTCCTTGGAAAATCCTCTATACAACCTTTAAAGTTTCATTGTATTTTGTACAAGACAATAAATCTAATCTAATCTAAATGGTGAGTGTGAATAACTGAAAAACTGTTGGCTAATGCTAGGTAGCTTGCAACTGTAACTTTATATGTGAGGGATTTGCTTAACAGCACAAATCTGCTCATCTGGTTGTCAGTCTAAGCAAGGTTACAGTCAGATCTGTGGAGTGGTGGCCCTGCTCACATGCTCAGTGTGTGTTTTTCAATGTATTTTTGAGCAATTTAAGAAATTGAGGACCCATAATAATGCTACAGACTTTAAATATTATTTCTTCTACTCAGTAAATTACCACTACTCCTATGTACACTAACATTGCAACCTTTCCTGGTCATGGGTTCCAGCTTCTTCTTTTTTCTATTTAAAAAAATTTTGCTTTAAATTGTTTACTGCTAAGGCAACTGTCCTAATTTTGCTTCATTCTGAAACCCTTGGACACTTTCTTTCCCCTTGCATACATATATATTTTCTTTATCTTTATTAATACCATAACCTTGTCTTCCTCAGTGTGCAGATCACAAAGTGGAGGCCCTGAGTGAGTCCTTACAGACCACTGTGCAGCAGTGGAGGGGCCGGTTCCCCAGTCCTCTGCCCCTGGAGCTCTACACCTCCTCAAACTTCATTGGTCTCTTTGTGGAGGAGAAAGTGGCAGACGTGCTCAAACAGTTTGCCTCTGACTTTGCCACAGAGGCAGCACGGAAAGCAGGTATAGTCCAGAGAAACAAAACATATTCAGATAGTGTCCTTTAAATTATTTTCAATAGTTAAAGTGCATATGAGAGGTTAGACTACTAATTTCACTAAAGCAAGTTAAAGGTGTATTGTGTAAATTTTTTGGTGGAGGGTCTATCAAATTATTATTTTTTCCATGGAGATGTTATTGTTTTGTTTGGGAGGTTTGGAACAGTATGGCATTAAACCTTTCTATCTTCATGGAGACCAAACCAGACCAAGATACAGGTCAGATCTATGGAGAGGCGACCCCGCTGACAGTCAGAATGTCTGCTTTTCCAGGTATTTTTGAGCTATAAAACCACCTATAATTAAATAAATGTAAGTTAGAGCTGTTTAATGCCATACTGTGGAACATGCTATGTTCCACAGCTATGACATATCCATAGAAACAAGCAGGTGATGGACCTCAAACCAAAAAGTTACATAGTGCACTTTTAACATAATTTTAGATTTTGCTATAAATCTTCTCTAATTGGTTCTAGTTTTTAAAAATACAAAGACAAAAGACATAATATAACCTATTTATCTTTTTTTTTTAATCACATTTTAGTCATATTGACGCACAGGAGAGCACATTATTTATTAATTCCGTATTTCTTTATTTTATATTTTATTTCATAGTATACTCATGGAAGCATAACTTATTAATTTTTTTGTATTTTAGCTTTTTTTTTTACAATTCCAGCAGGAGCCAGAGACAAAATATAAGAATGAACAGTTTAATTAATTAACTTTAGTTTAATTATTTTTTTTGCTATAGTGGCAGTTTTTACTCTCAAAAACACAAGCTTAACGATTTTTTTCCTCCCACAAAACCTCAAAGTGTGATTTCAAAAGTAGCATCAAACATAGCAGGCCCTGAGAGTGGTTTGACATTTACATTTATACCATAGTCTAGCAGAAGTGTTTCCTGACCACAGAGGAGTCTTTCAGATGTTATAAATAATTGTGTGTCATTTGATTTGAGTTGGAAAATATTATTTGTATAACTGATTTTGCCATTACTACTACTAGCACTGTGCCTGTGTAATCCCCTTATCTAGATAGGGTCCATAGCAAAAGAAGGTTGAATTCTGTCAACCCCTAGCTTCAGAGAGATATTTAATATAAATATAAATATAAATATAAATAAAAATCAACCTTCTTTTGCTGGTACCACTAGCACTGCTACTACTGCTACAGCTACTACTACTACTATGCTGCTATTGTTATTGCTACTGCTAGTACTACTACTACTGCTGCTATTACTATTGAGTTTTTAAGATCTCCTGGCAAAAGGTGCTGGCCTTTTTATGTAATACACTATGTCAACATTAATTTACTATGCAAATTCAGATGACTAAAATGTTTGCTGTTCCTGCCAATCACCTTACTCCCTCTACTTCAGCGTGAGCAGAAAATCTAATGTCCGTGGAGTCTATTTCAGGCCGTGGAGTAGGTGCCAAATCAGATTAAACTGGGCTGTTGGTGCTAATGTTGTCATAGTGTATTTATGCTCTGATATGAAGAGGGAGATTAAACTGTCAACCAGATCTGATATGGAAATGATGAAAACACTGCAGTTGTTATATTTCAAAGTCTTATTTAGATTTTTAAAGGTGCACTATGGAACTTTTCTACTGAGCTTCTGCCACCTAACCAGGCTCATGCATGATAATGTTGAAATGTTCAATCAAATTGCATTTATTCAAGTACAGATTATTATTGCCCCAGAACACCTTGAAAAACATGCATCCACACACCGCTCATGACTATGAGCAGTGTAGACTCAGATCTGACCTATAGTTAGGCCTATTTGTTTCACATGTTTGTTTCCATGGAAATAAAAAGTTTAGTGTCATACTGTGGATTATTCCAGATAAAGAAATAATATCTCTCTATGGAGAAAAACAGGTGGCAGACCCCTTAGTGGGAAAAGTTACATAGTGCACCTTTAAAGTTACAAATCATATGAAACATGTCTTCCATTTCTTGTTGCAGAAGTCCATGTGGAGCCTCATAAGAAGCAGCTCCATGTGACGTTGGCCTATAACTTCCCCACGGACCACCTGCCCTCTCTGGAGAAACTGGCCAAGGGCATAGAGGTCAAACTGGGCTGTGATTGGCTGGCTGTTCTGTTCTCCCGGGACATTCGATTTGCTAACCATGAGGTACCTCCAACTTTGACACGTTTGAATGTTTCAACAGAATGTTCACAAGAAAAATTTGTAAAAAAGTAATTTTATATATATGTGTGTGTGTGTGTGGTGTGTGTGTGTGTGTGTGTATATATTTGTATATATCTCTCTCTCTCTCTCTCTCTCTCTCTCTCTCTCTCTCTCTCTCTCTCTCTCTCTCTCTCTCTCTCTCTCTCTCTCTCTCTCTCTCTATATATATATAATATATATATATATATATATACATATATATATATATATTTTTTTTTTTATTTATTTATTTTTTTTTTAAAGCATGTAATTTAGAGTGTGGACATGCCAAAAAAAGTCTATACATTGTGCTACCTAATTGTGCAGTATTGCTGGATGCTATATTAACATATAGTCATGAGGATTTTCAGATACAGTTCACATACTTGAGTTGTGGCAGCATGTTCATTGTTTAGTTTTTATTAGTGTGTTTTTCATAAATTGAATGTGCATGTAGTGGTTTAACAAAGAAATAATGTTTTAAATAGGCCACTTTTGAACTGTGATGTATCAAAGTATTTTTGCATTGTGATATCAACTGTGATATCATTGTATCTATCACATTATGAAGCACTCTGTGATTCGCAGCCTGGCACATTTTATTTGTTTGTTTTAACTGTGATTAATGGGAATTATATCATCTCATGCATTTCTGTTATCGCATACAATTCAGTTCAATTTATTTTTGTAAAGCCCCAAATCACAACACACATTTGCTTCTTAGGGCTTTAACAAGATCATTGATTTAACCAACAGAAAGTTATCAAATCCAACAGTGAAACAAACATTCGTCAATAACAGACAGATTACCCAACATTTATAGAAGTCAAACAAATGGATAAGTCTCCCGGAGCATCCCTTGTCCTTAGAATCTCCTTTTTGGCAAGGAAGAACAACTAACTAATAATAATAACTCTCACAACTGCATTCACTAGGCAGTTATCAATTTATCCTTATCCTTACAGATACATTTTAGATTTTTTTAATCAGAATATTACATAAACCCAAATGTTGATGCCTCAAAATTACATCAGTGAATCTGTATATTATTCTTAACAATATCATTTATGAGTGCTTATTTCTATTCTCTTGCAGTACTAGAAAAAAAGGTTCTCTTATTTATCTTATCTTCCATTGTTCCATCTTTTTCTTAATATTGATATTTTGTCTTTCATGTTTTAATTTGACTTTCCCAGACACTGCGCGTGCAATATCCCTACACCCCCCAGAACGAGGATGAGCTGGAGTTGGTGCCGGGGGATTACGTCTTCATGTCTCCGGTGGACCAGAACAGCACCAGTGAGGGCTGGGTGTTTGGGACGTCCCTCTCCACGGGGCTGTCCGGCCTGTTGCCTGAAAACTACGTCACTCTGGCCGATGAGTCAGACACATGGGTCTTTCACGGGTGAGACTGCGGACACAAATACAGACAGAACACTCACTCAAGGGGAATTTGATGAGGTGGTTCTTAACTGGTGATGGGAATTAACTTAAATATTCGCTTGTATGAATCCTTAACATTGTTTTTTGTTTTTGTTTTTTAATGCTTTAAAATGTTAAAACTGAATTTTTTAAATTAGATGCTAAGGTTATTGTGATTTGTTATAATTAAAGGTGCATTGATTAGCTTTTCTGGTGGCAGGCCATCAGTTGCTTTTCTTTATGGAGATGAGTATTGCTTTGTCTGGAATGTTTCACAGTATGGTATTAAACTTTCTATCGTCATGGTGACCAAGTCAGACCAACTTACAGGTCAGATCTGTGGAGGGGTCAGTCAGAATGCCTGTTTTTCTAGGTATTAGAAAACCACCTACAATTTAATAAATTTAAAGTAGAGCTGTTTAATGTCATACTGTGGAACAATCCAGGCAGAGCACTGACATATCCATAGAAACAAGCAGGCGATGGACTCCCAACCAAAAAGTTACATAGTGCGCCTTTAACTTAAACATGTAAGTTAAAATCAGGCCTCTTGCTCTTTTTCTTTCTAAGAGAAGCATTAATATTTTTTAATTTTTTTTAGAAAAAATACATCTAGCCAAAACATATTTAAATGTAAACCAACTATACATGTGTAGAGTACCTTTAATTAAATAATATGAAATCTATTAGTAGTTTAGCCTAGCAGTTTTTTTCTATTCTCCAATTGCCAAGTTTCCAGTTTGGTGCTGTATTATGCTTATGTAGTACTGTTTGTGCCATTTAAACTAAGCTGAAAGCAAAATGGCAGCTGGGTAGAATGTTTTGCTGACTCAAAGATTTCTATTTTTGTGTTTGTTTTTTCAACAAAGACTTCAATGATATTTCGACTTTGGTGTCTGCCTCATTTATCAGATAAATTGAACTCTCTCACAGATTCTCCCCCTTCTCCTCAGGTCCCACTCGTTCTTCAGCTGTGGCCCGTCTGACAAGAGCGCTAAAGACAGAGGCATGTTTGATGGACTGCTGGACAGTCGTCGGCCCTGAAAACTCCAGCCCCGGAGAGACCCCTTCTCTTAGTCTCATCTGTCATCCCATGCAGGTAGTTCATTTTCTAGGTTATGACTATGTTCAGTCACAACTCTTTAGTTTTGGTATTACAGGAGGTTAAACTTAAAGGTGCATTGTGTAACTTTTTTCAAATGCTTTTCAAATGAGATGTTAATGCTTTGACTGGAATGTTTCACAGTATGGTATAAAATTTTTCTATCTTCATGGAGACCAAACCAGGCCAAGTTACAGGTCAGATCTGTGGAGAGACAACCATGCTCATAGTCAGAATGTCTGTTTTTCTAGGTATTTTTGAGCTATAAATCCATCTGTAGTTTAATAAATGTAAGATAGAGCTGTTTAATATCATATGGTGGAACATTTCAGTTAGAGCAACATCAGTACTTGAATAGTGAATGACTCACTGACTAATGGTCTTGCTTTGATGTTATTTTATCCATTGGCCATTGGCGAAAAGTAGAGGAAGACCAATGATGAGGTTTGTAAATGTAAAACTAAAATATGTTAGCAAATGACGGTGCAAAGTGTCTTGAATATGCTCTGCTGCCCCTGTAAACCACACCAGAAAATACAAAGATATAATGTATTGCTATATATTTTTCCTTTTTTTTCTGTAGCAGGTTCTGCGGATCAGTGGTAGTCACTCACGACAGCCGAAGAGGACCCTTTTTGTTTGTCGCCACGGAGAGAGGATGGACGTGGTGTTTGGAAAGCATTGGCTCTCCCTTTGCTCCGATAGCAAAGGTAATGTTTAATGTTTTGTCAATTTAAATAATACTTTTTATTTCTGCTTGTCCACCCTCTGATAGAAGGGAACTATCAATCTCATGAACATCTAAAACATTAATGGAAATCTGTAACCCACTTATATTCAGTCCAGTCACCCATTCTGAGTGGAATCTGGACTGCCTCCATGTTAACTTCCACACTAATAGGAAGTTAGCATGGAGGTGCTTCCAACTCTTTCTAACCATGTCTCACAGTGACATCAGAATACTGTTGCCCTTCTCTCCGTGACTGCCGCTGTTAAAATGTTAACATTAACCTGCTCTGCATGATCCTGGTGTTTTTATTTCATTATTATGTCTGTTAAAAAAATCCTATGTCAAATATGGAGCTTGGCTCCAAATTCACCCCTGTAACCGCTAGCAACAGAATCTTCATTTGACTGGGTTAAACCCTATGGGTGACGTCACATTTCTTTAGTCCACGTCGTTATATAGTTTATGCTCCAAACCCACAAATAAAAAATAACCTAAAATTTTATAAAAAATTGATAGGACTTTTCTATTAATTCCCCTTGGACTTTTTCCCTAATTATATTCCTAAATGTCACTTTTAGCTTTGACATGGGAATTGTCCAGACCAAACAATCTGCCATCTCTCAGATCATCCTCAGGCTATACCTTATATCTACCCCAAGTAAATCTGATTTTCCTCTGTGTAGCGCTTATTCCCACTAAATTATAGAGTAGATCAGACAGCAGAGGCCAAAACTACAGAGCCTCAGGTTTATAAAGAATCCAGCCATTTGCTCCAAAAGGTTCAGACAGATTCAGTTTGAATCGAGAGTCATTTTAGTCAGGTGTTCTAGGAAAAATAGGCCGGAATGGTAAGGGGTTTTAATGTGTTTATCTGTCTTGGATGAAATTTAGCTGTTGTGCTATCTCTGGCATATTTCTGTTTGTAGCACAGAGGTATTCACCTCATTGTTGAAGCTGCTTGCTAACATTGCTTAATATGCACTGTTATGTCTCAGGGCTGTTCAAATTCTGTATATTTAAGTTATTACTACAGCACCCCTGCAGTTTTGGTGATAAATAATTCTAGATGGAACGTAACCATGGTATCAGCAAATTCATACTGATAATTTATGACTCCAAAATGTCTCGGTTTATCTCTGAAATGAATAAAGAGGAGCATTCATCTCTCAGGCTTCTTTTTACAGACTATAAATCATATGCAGATTAATGGAGGTGGGGGTTGTCCACTCTAAACTATTGCACACTGAAAACACTGCATTGTTGTCATCCATTTTATCCTCCATGTTACTGGTTTCCACATTTTTCAAAGCCCTACATGGGTTTGGAGATTTTTTATTCTGTATGGTTGTCTGTGATTGTGCCCATAGGTAACTTGTGGTCCATCGTTTTCAATAACAGTTTTAACAGAAGTTGAGCTGCATTTTTGTCTTCACATCGAATTTGTTATTACTTTAGACCTTTGTTTTAAAAATACTAAATTTTAATCTGTCTATTTTTTATTTTTCAGCTGTTTTATGCAGACTTTTTTTTAAACTATTTTTAATGAAGACAATATACTCAAAATTCTCATTTTACATATCTCCAAAAAAAAAAGTCAATTGCAATATTTCCCTTTTCTCCCCTTTATTTACCCTTAATACTTTGTTATAGTCCTAAACTTATTATTAGAAATAGATAAGCCCTAAAAAGAATGGGCATCTCAACTGTTTATATTACCCATTTTCATCAAAATTCATGCTGTTTTTGTTTATGAAGGTCGATACATTCGCTCCAACCTGAACATGCCTCAGAGTATCCCGATGTGGGGAGGGCAGAGGGACTATGACATGGACGCTCCCATTACTGTGCTAGGGTGTACACAGGCACGGCTCGTGGGTAAGGCAATATTTAACTTACATTTGGTTTTGTGAAGTATGTGTCCAGTATGTAATTTATTCTTTTGCATTTCTAGGGGAGGCACTATTAGAAAGTAACACAGTAATAGACTTTGTGTACTGCTCTCCTTCATTACGGTGTGTCCAGACAGCACAGAATATTCTAAAAGGTAAGAGAAACGGACAAGTAAACACTGACTTTAAGTAATGCACCTCATTATGACTACAGAATTTGCAAGTACTTTGGCATATAGGCAAAATAACAACTCGTCTTGAACATTACAGATTGTTTAATTGATTTATTTACTAAAGATGGGTTACTTTCAAACCGTGAAAGGAGGGAGCAGGTATTTAAATCTGTAGCTTTAGTGTGGATCATTGCACAGCCAAAAAGTTATCATCCCAAAGCATTATATAGGAATGCACGCTGCCTTTTCTTAAATTTGCAATTGATAAAACTATTTACAGTTAGATGCAGACAGTGAGCAGCTCTCTGATTTTGAGTACTTTTACAGTTTTACTAATTTACCAGAATACCAGTTGGGTATAACAGCTTTTATTGCTTGATTATTTTTAAGTGGCCTGAGCTAAAATGAGATGCATGATGAGTTGCTTTCTGTACCTCAGGTTTGCAGCAGGAGGGGAAGCTGAAGCTGCGAATAGAGCCAGGTTTGTTTGAATGGACCAAGTGGGTTTCAGGAAACTCACTTCCTGCTTGGATTTCTCCCCCTGACCTGGCAGCTTCCCACTTCAGTGTAGACACAACATACAGGTGAGACCAACCATCACCACCCAATATTTGGCCCAAGCCAGCACCAAATTTGGGGATTAAGTTCTATGCATGACTATGAGCAAAAAGCAGGATTATGAGCAAAAAATGAGTTCCTGGATGAGGGGTGGAAGTACTTGGACCAGACTTCTGTCCTCTTATTATAATATATTGTGATGTGTGAACCACTGTGTCCAAATAATGTCCGTTGTGGATCAGTAAAGTTTGTCTAAGTCTGTACAGTCTATGGTTACAGTATACATTTGCTTATTTATTACAGACCGCTGATTCCTGTTAACAAACTCACTGTGTCTGAATCCTATGAGACGTACATGAGCCGGAGTTACCAAGTGACCAAAGATATCCTGTCCGACTGCAAAAACACCGGTAACTCCCCCGTCCTGTCCCGGGACCTGTGCCTAAAAACAGCACAGAATTATTCATTGTGTTACAGTTTAAATTGATGTAGTTGCGTTTGTGCCTCTTGACAGGAAACAACGTGCTGATTGTAGCCCACGCGTCTTCTCTTGAGGCCTGCACTCGACAGCTGCAGGGCCGGAGTCCACAGACCACCAAAGACTTCATACAAGTGGTCCGAAAGGTGGGTCTACTCATTCAGTATGTGTTTAAAGTATGAACAGTCTGTGAATCACTAAATACATTGGGAAAAGCAACATACAATATCAAGGAGTTTGGAATTTGGGATTACACTTTTCCCTGTGTAACAGAGTGGAAGTATTGTGGAGAAGAAATGGCACGGTGCAGCCTTTAGAAATGATTAAAAAATAATAATAGGTTTCAGCTTCCTGTTATATGCAACATTTTGAGGACTTTGTCCTATTTAAAAGATATAATATTTTGTTAATCGTTATGACAACAGTCCTAATTTTGCATCCTTCTGAAAACACATAATAATATATGTCCTTTTATGGCATACAACATTCAAGTCACAACCTTTTACATTACAACCCTAACCCTAACTAAAAATTCAAGTTGAAAATGGCAACACATTTGTTTTTATTACTGACAAGTAAGTGTCTATCACCTACCTCATTCTGACTTCAGTAAAATTAATTTAAAAAAATAGTGTTTACATTATAGCATGTATACAACACAATATAAGTTAATATATAATATAATATAAGTTATATTAAGTTATAATATAAGTTAAAAGAATACCTATGTCCTTTTCAGTGTTCTCAGGTAAGGGAAAGGACAGGCAGAAGTTGAAGTTCTCTATTTATATGAGTAGGAGCATTATTAGAGTTGGACAGTATGAGACATGAACTGTACTGGTAGGATAGAGCACATAACAAAACACAGAGAATACTTAACAGGCACTTGACAGGTATGGGAACAAGTTAAAAACACACTTAAATCAAATATAAACTTAGACACTATATATAGTGCAACTGTAATGGACAGAAAATCTTAACATTTTAAATCTTAAAGGCCACTTATTACTGTATTTTTTGATCTGTGTCATCAAAAACATACTTGGAGTGGTGTTTGTTTCATTCACGTATGTTTAACGCACGAACCCTGCATATTTAGGCTGAGTTACTCTCTCAAGCAGAGAACACTCTGTTCCACTTTGTGATGTCATGTAGTAATACAGGAAGTGCTCCCCATAAATTTAACCTGTACTTAAACACTATGTTAATATTTTGTTACAGATTCCATATTTAGGTTTCTGTTCCTGTGAGGAGCAGTCGGACACTGGGGTGTGGCAGTTAGTGGACCCTCCCATCCTCCCTCTGACTCATGGACCCAACCACACATTCGACTGGAGGGAAACTCTGATGCAGGAATGACCAAAAAATGCAATAAATAATGTTATATTGAATTGAAAAAGACTAAAACACACTGTCAGTGGCTTCATAAAGACATTTCACTGAGGGTTTAATGCTCATTGATGAGGACTAATGCTGATACCATCAACCCTCTAGCGCCATCTTCTGGTTTACTTTTGCTGCATGACACGAAGGTGTTTGGACTGGGAGAAAGCTGCACTGTGTGGAAGCTCAGAGCCCAGTTTTGTGAAATAATGAGTAATTAATTTATTTTTCTTAATGATTGTACATGAAATTATAGTATGTCTGATGTAATACCCGACAGTTAGAGCTTCCTATTAAAAGTAAAAGACTCAGGTTCATTTATGGCAGTCCTAAGTAAAAATTAATTGTTACATTGCTATTTTTCCATTTCTTTGCCAGTGTTGTCATTGTTCATTTAAGTTCAATGTCAGTGTCAATGCACATAACATTAGTTAACAAGAGCATAACTAGATAGCTAAATAAATTACATCATTCATTCATTGTCTTCTACTTTCTGCTCATTTCAGTTGGGGCATGCAGGCGACAAGAGAATTTTGATTCTGAATTATTTGTAGCTAATAAATAAAATTGTGAATCTGTATGTGGACACCACCATACATAGAGGTTAGGATAAATTCCCAGTGTTTCAAAACCATCAAATTAAAAATGGCCTCTGTTGAAATGTATTGCTTTCAAAAACACTGCCCAGATCATAGACTGTGTAAATAAATGGACATAGCTTACCCGCTAGCTCCCACGTTCCACATTGAAAGTGAGAATGGGACACTTCTGGCTCCATCGACTCTGACTCCAATTGACTTTGCATTGAAAAATTGTCACCCCTTCTCTGTAACTGTTGCACTATGACTTGTAATTTAGGTCTTAAAATGTTCATATTAACCCACACTATATGGTCCTGGTGTTTTTGTTTAGCTATTTTGTCTGCAAGTGAATTCCTATTTCTAGTATGGAACTAGCTCCAAATTTGCTCCCATAACCGCTAACATCGTGAGCTTCATTTGACTGGAGCTAAATGCGATGGGTGACATCACACTCTCTCAGTCCACTTTATAGAGTCTATGGTCCAGATGAAAGCAACCATTGAAATCACCTTACATACTAAATTAAGGCATAAAAAGTTTCACAAGTTAACCCATTAATACAGCGCACTCTATGTCAAATTAATATTTATTTATATAATATAGGTCTATTAATATAGAAATGATACATGACATTTATAGGTAAAATCAAGACCGTATACTAAAACTATTTAGGAAAGGTTAAATTTTGTCCCAATAATGCTTTTTTTCAGTATCGATACTTGTTTAAATTAGTATTGCGTTTCAGTACTAATTTAAATATTGATTAGCATCTAGCTATTGCTTACCTTATTAATTACAAATGTGAGTGCACAACCTGTTAGTGTATATTCCAGTACAAAACAGGTCATCCCATCATTTCATTTTTACATATCAAACACTCAGAGCTCAGGTTTGGTAAATATTTCAAGATTTTTGAGATTTAGAAATGGTTCATTTTGTGTCAGTCTGAGATTTTCATAACAAACTTCCCAGATACTCAGCCCATGTGTAGCACATGCAGTTCACTCCTTTACTTTGCTAATATTATATTTAAATAAAGTGACTTGAAGGCGGCACAAACTGCAATATTGACAATCATACTGTAGCTTACGATTCTGGTCAGCAGCCTTTTATTGTTTAGTATCAGTTGTAACTTCAAGTTGTAAATAATTCTATTTTTGGGATTTTTGGGATACAGTCTTCCATTTCCTTTCACTAGGCTCTGTCAACAGCAGCGTGCTAGCAAGCTCACTGTGTCTCAGAACAGTCACTTTTATTAAAATCGGAAAACGTAATTAATATAAATAAAATGTATATAGCATTAGCACTGAGACTTTCTTTCTAAATAGAAAAGTGTTCTTTGCTGAAGTATTCATTTTATTTGTATATTTTCAGTCACATCCACCTGCAGCCTTATCTTTAAATATTTATCAGTTTTAGCACAACTCAGCAAAAACTACATAGAGATAAATTTGGACAGGAATTTGTGTCACTAACAGTGAGTTTGCAAGGCTCTATTGTGCACAGAGCCTATTTTATTTATTATTATTATTATTATTTTTGAAGCACCATCGCAGTTATTGGCATGCAACGAGTAAAGCTCTGTATCTCAGGTGTTAACTGCATTTAAATATAAAGCTTTGGGTGACCATGCTATTGTGAAGTTTTATGTACAACAGAAATAGCAACTTTAAAATAGTAATGAATTACGTAGTTAATCAAGTGACTGATTATCAAATAAAAGTGAAGGATTCTCCGTAAGTAAATTCATTTGGGTGTAAAACATCTGTATTTAATAAATAACATGAAAGATATGTAATGGCCACTTTGTTCATTTTATGATATGACGTTATTGGAAAATATAATAATAGTTTGTAATTTGTGTAATGGTGTGATGGTAAAATAAAAAGTATTACATGAAATTTGGGCTTTATTAGAGGGATTTTCTGGGCATACGCATGTGTTTAGCAAGACATTTTTTAAAAAATAGTATGATATAGCCTATATACTGTAAAGAATATCTTCCCAGCAATGTGTAAAACTGACAATTGAAATTATATTTTGCATGCCAGTATCGATGTAAATCTAAATTGCAGGGCAAACCCAAATCCACAGCTCCCTAAATGACTGTTGAACTGATTTGAATTTCACTGTACACTGTTAACTGTTGATATTATTCAAATGTAAATAATCAGCAGCAGTCCTCATCAAAACATTGCACAATGTCTGCAGAAAAGAGTCAACAAACTTCATCAGTTGAGGTAAATAACAGATATATATATATATATAGATAGATAGATAGATAGATAGATAGATAGAAATATATATAGAAAAGGATGAAGACAAAGATTATAGAAATTTGTTCGCATTAAGAGGAGCAAAAGCAGAGAGAGAGAAAGCAGAGTCTGATATTACTCTTGACAGAAAGAGATCAAAAAACACACAAAAAGAACTGGCCAGGACAAATTTTGTAAATTAGTTAATATCTCAGAAGCAAGCTATGGGCAGAGTGGAAAGGAAACCATAAAAGTGGGAGAGTTGAAAGAAGATGGATCTAATATCCAAAACATGGTGGATCAAAATGAAAAGAATCAAACGTCAACAGAGGAACAAGTTAAGGAAATGACTGTTGGTCCAGTGGATTTTGAAAAGACAGCATCATCTGAGCAGTTAGACCAGAAACTACAAATGAAAACATCCAAATCAGATTCAGATGCCAAAAATATAACTCTGGACAGTGATGGCACAGGTAAGTCAAATGTAAAGATTGGGAAAAAAAACAACAAAAAAAACAGAAAATTTAAAGTGAATGGAATACAGTTAAGAAGTCAAAAGTCTGATCCAGGATCATCCACTAAGTCCAGCTCAAAGAAAATCGATCATCTCAGATATTGCAATATTGATTTAATTACATATCAAAATCACTATTATCAATTTTAACTATTCATTTCTTCTAGGTCTAAACAAGTCTTGCCTGCAGTTCCTCAACCTGCGCTGAAAGAAGCCACAGACCACACTGATGATAAACTCAAACTTAAATCGACACATCTCAAACTCTCTGAGAACAATAAACAACAAGCAATTACAGAAAAACAAGTACTACACAAACACAGACATGTTAGGCCTTAGTCACTATAATCTGCACGGGTCCCCATGGGCAGTTCATGGGCCTCCACAGGCCAAGAAATGTCAGCACCCGTACGAGTGAATCGCCCTTGCGGGTTATCGTGACTAAGGCTTTACATTATTTTAAGCAGTTAATCTTGTTTCATGGTAGTACAAACATCTGCGGGATTGACTGCATTTTTAAAAAGATCTATGCACCTATTAAATAAATACACTATACTTTTTTGCAGCTGTGAGGGATGTCCTCCTCCCTGATCTGACCTGTATGTTGGCCAGGTGGTGTAATCCACTTGTCTCCATGGAAATGAATAAGTTTATTGCTATATTGTGGAACATTACAGGCAGAGCAATAACTTCCATGGAGACCAGCACGTGGCAGACCCTTCCCCAGACAAGTTATATAGTGCACCTTTAAAATACATTTTATTGTCCCCAGTATAGGAAAATGTGTCCCCTACATTTGACCCATCCTTCAATATTGCTGGGCAAACTTTTATTCAGTTTGGCAAAAAAAAAAAAAATCCATTTGATCTTAAGTTTATCATAAAATATTCAATGTTTTGTTTTTAGAATCCCCAATTGCAGAATTTATTGTCACCTATTCTGTCTTTCTTCTTTATAGATGTTGCAAAGATAAAGGAGAAACCAATCAAGGCTAATGCTATTTTCCAGGAATCCAGGAGTCCTTTACCTAGTAAGCTAACCAAAGCACCAAACCTTGACCAAAAAACCCAACCAGTCGCCCCTTCCCCCAAAACCTATGTCTCTACCCCCAACAAACCCCATTCAAGCCCATGTAGATCATAAGGTCCTGGCACTTTACAAACAATTCAAAACTGGAAAATGGATATCATCCAACTCTCATGGAAAGGGATCCTCAGCTGACCTTTATCACTCTAAGTCCAGATGGTCCTTCTCCAAGACTGAAATTGAGGGTCTTGAAGAAGCAGACGATTTGTATATGCGAGGGTCTGGAGAGGAGGCTGAAGGGGTACCCACAAGAGTCCTTGAACAAACTGGTCTCTGGCAACTCATCATTAATGGGGTAATAGAATCGATAGACCAGGACAAATTGCAGAAACTTCTACAAGAAAGACCTAAGAGATCACCACACCAGCTCAGATATGGAAGGTTTCATTAGGGATAGGCCTTCAGACTTCAAGACCAAGAGCAATCACATGGGAGGACATAGAAGGCCTAACAGTGACATTATTCAAGCTAGAAATGCAAGACCAGGCATGTCAATGAATCAAAATAACTTAAGTACACTGCATTTGGAGGGTCCATGTAGCCAGCGAGATTCTGCATCACAGTCTTTAGACCAAACCTCTCTGAGATGGTTAACTGAGGACAGATCTACTGGAAGAAGAAGTCATGAAGACTTGATTTTGGGGTAGTAAACAGGGAATCGAGTCCACAGTCAACTATTCAAACAGGACTTAGTGGCAGAGACTATGCTGATGAATCACATGGGTATATTGCAAAGAGGCTTGATCCAGGACAATCAAGGTTAGATAGTTCTTCTAATATTAGCCATAGAGAAACTACACCTGAAACCATGGGGTTGATAACTGACAGTCGAACCAGTCTAAAACACGATTCCCAGTTAAAACAAATGGACCAGCCTAGTGCTAAAGGTACACAAGAATTTGATGAGTTTACAAATTTCAATTATGATCACAGAAAACAAAGTATGGGAGGAACTAGCTGCTCTAGATCACAAACTTTAGGACATGAACCTATAGATCCACAGTTCCAAGTTAATTCAACATCTAGAGCAGACTAGTCAAGATTACAGGGCTCTGCTTTATTATAATGGTCTATGCAGTCTGTGGGCCAACCTGGTTACGTAAGAGGTACAGAGTTGACGTATCCAGATTTAGAAAGAAGTGGAACGAGGTTCAGTGAATCTCCAACTAGTCTTGGTACAACAAGTGTAAGACAGACTGCATTTCAGGAGCCAAGTACTTATATATATATATGGACATTCTCAGAGCACTTTAGTTGGCTTAGATCACCCCATGGTTTACTACAGAGCTGGGTGGAAACACTCAGGCTCAAGAAAGGGTGATGTTGCTATGAAGGACTTAACATCAAGGCTCAATGAATCACATGGTTTCATTCTGTAGCCAAGGCTGGTTCAGAAGGACTGGTTACTGGTTTGGAGGAAGAGTGACAGAAGTGAAAAGTTCAAGGCAGAGTACACAAAAGAATGCACAGTCTACAGATGAGACGATACCTGAAGACAGAACCAAGGACTTATTAAGTTTTCAAACAGTGCAGTCCATGGTTCACACATATGGGTTCCGAACATCTACAGAACCAGAGAAGTTTCTCAAAACCCTTTCCAAAAGTCATAGAGACAAAACAAACCCAATGTCAAAATGGAGGCAGGCACTTTATCAGCTAATTTTTCCATACAGTTTCTGCTCCCCTCAAACTGCTAAACTGTTGACAAGAGAACTGAGCAAACAGGCACAGTTCCAAAGTACAAAACAACAGAGAGATAATGCTGAACTCTACCAGTTTTTGGACTCAATTACCACCAGAGTGCACCATGAGAGGGTGATTCAAAGAGTCCAGTTTCAAGACATTTTGGATCAAGCAACTTCTGATTTCCACTGTATAATTCCACTGCCTTCAATAAATAGTTTCATGACATTGGAAAAAAATGGGGAGATGGGATTCGGCAAGCTGCTTTTTGAATAGGAGAGAGGGTACGAGGAAGACGAGAAGATGACAGTGGTCAGTGCTTCTGTCAATGTATAAAATGATGCATAATAATAAAAAAAAAAGTCATGCTACTGCTGCTACTTCTACAGTGTTGAAAAAAAAAACCCTAAATAATAACTGAAATAATTGAAAACTCTTTTGTTTGTGCATGTTGTTCATTTGTCAAAAAAGCAACCTTAAAAACTACTTACACATGAATAATTACATTAAACAAGAAAAACTGTGACATGACCGGCTTTTGTGGTGTTTTGAGTCAGTAATATACTACAAACATACTGTACAATGAAACAAAAACAATGGTGGCACGGTGGTGATCTCTGGGTTGCCTGGGCCTTTTTGTGTGGCAAAACAAGATCCCCCAGGTGCCCCACTGCTTCTGAAAGGATGGGTCAAATGCAGAGGATAACTCCCTAGGGGGATAATAAAAAAGTACTACAAACAAACAAAAACAATAAGTGTCTCAACAATTGTACAGTGCACAGAACATGTAAACACTCAAAACAGGTTTGACACTTGGCACCTGCTTACAAATGAGAAAATATCAATGGATTAGACTAAAGTGGAGATTTTTCAGGACAACATAACACCATCAATACTTACATTAATATCGGTTTTAAAATCTTAGTACATAGTACCAAGAGTATGGACATTTAACAATGACTAAGAGGCATGACACTATGAACCTATGAAGGCACCATTTTTTAAATTTTTCCAAAATTGGAAGAAGAAATTTCAAAAGCTTTTTCAGCAAAATAGATGGGCTATAGACAACAAAAAGGCTTTACATGTAAAATATTTCTCCAGGTCTTTTCATTAAAAACAGGTTTACATTTTGTTTAAAGCACACTGTAAGTTGTTTTGCTCAAATATATTCTTTGGCATTTTTCTATAACAAGTACTGTTTTATACTGGGTACTATATACTCATTTTTTTCTTTGTGTACATTATACAGGTATGTTTGAGGCTCAGGAAATTAAATACATGAGGTATTATCTGAATGCAACACATCTAACCTTTCTCTTTTCAGCAGCTCATATCCAGTTAGGATTGTCTCTATTTGATTTTGCTACTGTGTATTGTCAGTGTTTTAAGTGGTTTTAACATTATGTGCTATGGGGTTATCTGGCATCGTTGAGTTGCCTGGCCACTGTTAAGATCTCTTTGGCTCCTTTACTCAGCAGCAGGTTGGCCAGGTCCACCCCCAGCTGCTCTGCTCCTTTTTGGGCTGAACCAGAGATTTTGGTTGCGGTGATTCCCACTCTTGGTACAAGGTCGTCCACTTGCTCCTGGTCCTATGAAACATGCATAAAATGTCAATATTGTCTTAAAACCAGAGGGGCTTTTTCAAACTCAGACATAGTTTAAAATGAATCTCACCTCCTCTGAATTCGCAACACTAGTCTGCATGGTGTCCTTCAGACTGTCAGAGCCATCAAGGCTAAACACTGCCCCCGTCATGTAGAGCTGGGGATTACATCAGAGCAGGAATACAATGTTAGAGAATAGAGCACAAAAAAAAAAAAAAAAAAGGTTACATTCAGGTTATACATTTCATACTTACAAGTGGTAGTTTTGCACTAACACATTCTGATAAAAGTATTTTGTTTTTGATTTTTTCTTTTGTGAGTAACTACAGTCTATCCTTGTGACTATTGCTTGTCTTCATGATGAAGTCATTACTTTTGCATGGCATGACACATGACAACTACCATGATTTTTATATTTGGATTAGATTAATGTCATACTGTGCAACATTCCAGGCAATGTAATAATGTCTCTATGAAGACAAGCAAGTGGTGGACCCTCCATCAAAAAAGGTTGCTTTAATTTATTCACAATAAGCTATTCCCATGTTAACCGGTTCATCATAACTGAATAGTGGCATAAAAAAAGATGCTGGTGGTTCCTACCTGTGAATCTCTTATTTCAGTGTGTACTGCTACAGGGACACTGCATCCTCCTTCCTACAAGATACAAGGTTTCATTAATAAATCACAAGATAAAATATCTTTAAAAAATGGTGAAAGTATCATTGCTTGTACCAATTGTTTGAGGAAAGCCCTTTCAGCGATACACCTCAAAACTGTGTCTGGATCATGAAGGACGGAGACCATCTCTAAAATGTCTGTGTCCCGAGCTCGGACCTCCACGGCCAAAGCCCCCTGGTCAAACAGAAGTGTTTACTTTTAAACATGTTCAAATAATAAAATATTAAAGAATAAACAAAAATCTATTTTTATCTTACCTGTCCAACAGCATACATGCAGTCTTCTGGAGTAAGACGCTGTCAAAAGAAGGAAAAAAGGGATTACTGAACTCCTATTAAAATCTTGTGATGATGTGGTGTGATTTTGTTAGAGTCTTTGTTCTATAGAGCAAGCTAAAAACTGAATATGCTAGAAGTGACTCTGAAGATGATAAGACATTGATAAGACATATAGGGACCAGTACTTGTCCAATTCTGTTCTCCCAGCCCATCCTCTTCAAACCAGCTGCAGCCAAAATGATAGCAGCATAATCATCTTTCTCATCCAACTTCTTCAGCCGAGTGTTCAAGTTTCCACGCTGAGCAAAGCAGTTAAGGCAAAAAAAAACTGAAAAAAAACCACCTTCAATGTTCATTGATTTATTTTATAATATGTGTGTTGGTGTATTACTGAAATGTATTTAAAGGATACAATGTCTTTGAACACCAGATTGTTGAATCTTCTCTTCAGTTGAGCAGCACGCCGCAATGAACTAGTGCCAATAACACTGTAATGTACAATTGCAAATTAAGTCAATGACTGCTTCACCAGTTATTACAACATATAATAATTATGATGTTGAAACAAAAAAATTACATTAAACCATACCTGTTTTCTGGTAACATGTCAAGTGTCTTATTTGCGTGTTTTGGGTGTAGCACAACAGCATCAACAGGACTTTCTCTCCTATAAGAGAAAGATTGAGTTTTTAGTGAATACTGCTCAGTATTTGACCAAGAAACAATCTTTTTGAAAAATGTCTAGACCTTTGCCTGACTAGTTACTGAGGAAAGAAAGAATTTATTTCACCAGAATATACAACTCAAATTGCTTTCTGACTAATACTAAATAAGAGGGAGGAATTTATGCAGTATTTACACTTCTCAAAGTAAAAGTCAATAAAACATACTTGAGCACAGCTCCAATAGTGAAACCAGGAGGCAGAGTGGTGGGGAGGTCTTTCAGCGAGTGCACCACTAGATCCACTCTGCAGGACACAAACAGACACAAGCATCATAACACTCAGGTATAATGTAAAACAATACAACCATTCACTGCCTCTCAACTCTGCCACATCTGCTACATCACACAGTGTGCATCAAAAGCCCTGCTGTGTAAAAGGTCAGGCTAAGGTTGCAGAGAGGAAGTGGTGGGTACAACAAATTTCAAAGAGTTGTAATAAGACTGCGTAATCTATATATGAGGTTTTACATGCAAAGTAAGTTAAATGTAATGACTAAACACACAGGGATGAGCTACTTAATTATAACTGGACCTTTGCTCCCTTTTAAACACACAATCCAGTTGACCTGGTTTATGGTTAATATCTCTATAATTACTGGGCTGATCCATCTGAACCAAAAAGGGCACAAAGTTTAATCCCTCCTCAATGAACTAAGGTGTAATTCTGTTTTCAAAACAGGCAAGGCAAGTTTATTTGTATAGCACCATTTGTAACCAAAGTAATTCAAAGTGCATAGCTTCAGCTTCAGAAAGTGCTGCCATTACTCATCCCTAAAGAATTTTTGACAGTTGGTTAAACATTTGTAGACCATAACTCTGGCTATTTCTTGAAAAAATTGTAAATCTCCCATACATCTTCCAACTTTTGCAATTATTGTAATGCGATAATTAGTTTATATTGATACACAGTAAAATACTTGTGTGAGAGTAAAACTCTTAAAGGTGCACTGTGTTACATTTCTAGTGGATGTCCACCACCTGCTTATCTCCATGAAACTGTTATTGCTTTGTCTAGATTGTTACACAGTACAGATTAACCCTGTCTATCACTAGGGAGACAAGCAGGTTACAGCATTACATTACATTACAATTCAGATCTGTAGAGAATTGCCCCTATTCACAGACGTAATTCCTGTATGTCTGAACAATAGAAACACCCGTAATGAATAAATGCCAGACATATGTGTTTAATGTCATACCATGGAATATTATAAAAGAATGAGAACTTTGCACATCAATTCCTAGAGATGGCTGCGTCAAAGGAGAGGGAGCAGTCCAAGAACATAGAGAAAAATCCCGCACAGTCTTACTTGCAAATTGTGAGATTTATTAGGACAAACCGTGCAACATTTCGGCAATAGGCCGTTATCAGGCAAAAAAAAAAAAGTGCCGAAACGTTGCACGGTTTGTCCTAATAAATCTCACAATTTGCAAGTAAGACGGGATTTGTGCGGGTTTTTTCTCTATACACCATGGACCATTCCAAGCAAAACAATAACATTTCTTTGGAGACAAGTAGGTAGTGGACCCTCCACAAAAAAGCTATGCAGTACACCTTTAAGGCTAAAGTAAAGTATTCTCTTTGTATTTGTTTGTTTTAGGACAATGCTAAGCTCTGAACCAGTGTCAGCCACAGATGACACCAGAAACACTCACTCGTTTCTCTCCAGGGCGTTCTCCAGTTCTTTGGTGAACAGGCTCTTTTCTCCGATCTGCAGAGTCAACAGAAATAGAGTGAGGAGAAACAATTCATATTAACATTCAAATTCTCTGCTAATTTAAAGCAGATTTTAGCAGATTTTAGCCTCACCTTTGACAAAGCTGTGTCCAAAATTCTGTCTCCTGTAGTTGTCATGCCAACTGAAGAGAAAACAAAAACAGGTCGTTAAATGTGCACTATGTAACTTTTTTGGGCCTTTCACCTCATGAAATTCTTTTGTTTTATTTAGTTTTAGTTTATTTAAGTGTTTTTATTGCCAGAATGCTTGGTTTGTTGGATTATACATGTATGAGCTCCTTATATTTGATCCTTTACTCTTTCAGTTACACATCATCTTGCACATAGATAAATGTAATTTTTCTTAGATTAGATGACTTGGTTTATGGTTAATATTTTTAGAATTAGTTGGTCAATCCATATGAAAGAAAAAGCTCAATCCCTCCTCAATGAATTAAGTTTTAATACTGTTTTCAAAATAGCCTTAAATTATAAAATGTTTTGTTTTCATTGCCAGAAAAGTTTGTTGGAGTCACCTGCTTGTCTCCATGGAGTTTTAACTCTTTGCAACAACATTTCCATGAAGGTCTGAGGACTTTTTCCCATTCAAAATATATATAAAATTTTCAACTGTTAATCACAGTTGAAAAATAAACAGTTGGGCAAATAAGCAGTCCTAATTTTTATCATTCTGAAATAGGATAGGCTAAGTCATACAGGGTAAACCACACCCAAAGTAGTAGAGAATAGAGGGCTCAAAAAAGGGCAAGCTGTATGAATGAATAAATGAATGGGAGTTCTTACTTATTTCCAGTTCGATGTCAGGATACAGTTCTTTCAACTTCTCTGCCACACTGTCAGTCTGAATACAAGCCAACTAGAACAATAGAAAGACAAAGAAATAACTTAGCTTGCTCACAATGTAGAACAGGACAAGATACGGCAAAAGCACAGATAATTCTCTCTATGTTTCTTTTAATATAAATAGCTGAAAGTCCTACACCAGATAATTCAACACAAAAAATATATATATATTTGAAAACATTTGTTAGACAGAGGAGCAGTAAACACACTGTACCTGGCTTTTGCGAGTTCCTATCCGAATTACTCGAACAGCTTTGCCATTCCCATCCTGAAAAGACAACACAGAATGTCTTAAAGTCCAAAATTACATCCAAGTATCACTTTCTTACTTAAGATAAACTATCTCTCCAATTGTCTTACCCTTATGTAAAGTCCGTACTCCATAGTAAAAGTGCACTGTAAAGGCTATTGTGCTGTCTGTTAGCCTAAGACAGTCTGCAGTGTCTCAGTAAGAAGCTAGACTGAGGTCATACAGCCTCAAGAAACTGAACACTTGGGTCTTTCTCTCCTCCTCCCAACGGGACCCCCACCCCAACATATCTCTGCTTCCTAAAGATAAGTGTCCCAATTCAATGAGTCCGTTATAAAGGGCAGGGAGGGGCAGCTAAGGAGGGTCAGTCCAAAAAGGTGTGGTCTTCCAGTAGCATCTTTACAGTGGTTGTCTATAATCAATCATCATTCATGAATTAATTTTGGTTTAATAGTTTAGAAAAGTGGTTACCAACAGTTTTAATCTCAAGTGCCCCCCAAGCTTCATCACATGCTCAAAAGTACCCCGACTTGTGTAATTGTGATTCTTTTAAAAAATATGGTTCTATTTAGTGGTACATTATTATTATCAATTATCGTTATTGTTATAATCATATGGACGTCTAAATTATCTTTAAAAATTTTATGTTCAAATGCTATTTCAATTTCACCTTCTTTATAAATCTGAAATCATTCCAAGTGTTCCTGGTTGGGAAACACTGGTCTAGCATACTAGAATATTTATGACAAATAAAAAGAATATATAGATAATAAAGCTGGTTATCAGAAACAATTATCTGTTATTGGTGTCATTACTAACCACATACTGATGGTTCTATTAGTCACTGACCTTTTGTGTTTATTAGTGGTTAGTTTTACCAAATATAAGTATTGCTAATAGATATTACAGTCATTGTTTCTCATAAATGTTACACAAAACCCAGAAATAATTACTTGGGCAAAAATGTAAACGCTTTTAGTCACTGAATTAACATAATTTGACAGCCTCTACGAGAAAATAGAATGCTACTTCAGATCAAGCCTACAAAATGGCACTATGACTTTTTTATGCACTCTTACTATGCATGTATATGATGAGTGGGTATTAATGACATGCACCACTGTGGAGGTAGCAAAATTCTGTTTCTGTGAGAGGGAAAATTGTATAGTTTTCTAGCTATGCTCTTCTGTATGTGATATGTGCTTTATGTCCCGCCTCTTTTCCTTTTTGAACCAATGAAATGCCAAATTCAGAAATATACCCCAGACACTGACCAATGAGAAGGCTCCTTTGCCAGAACACGGAACTGTTGGCTGTCCTCTACAGAGAAATTAACATGCTTTCAGCATGGGATAATTTGAGTATTTTTATCAAAATCTTACCCCAGAGGCAGCTTCCTCCGACATCTCGCTTATCCGATTTGGCTCCTAGATGCTGTGCAATATATAGAGGTTTAATCTCTAATGCAGAAAGCCTGAAAAACACCAACTTTTCCCTAAATGAGCTAATAGTAACATCCAACGACCGCTGACAGCTCCGCTATGAATGAACGCGGAACTGGTGTCTGCGCCGCTGGTAGAGGTCATTTCCTACTTCCGACGGCTGTGTCAACTTACCTTACTTTACTTTAGGGAGAACAGTTTAGATAAAAGTCGGATCAGATAATAAGATTACACAGATTCTAAGTCGAAGTGCGCTCTAAGTTGAACTCACTCTTAAAAGTGCAAATGAAAAAAAACTGGTGAGGCAGCTATAGACTTCGAAAGAGATTCAGTTTGTTGTTCTTATGAGTCATTAGCATTTGTCAGAAGAACTGCTAAAGTCTAGAATGTTGATTATTTACATCCATAACTAGTCACTTGAGTGTGTGGGTATCTTGCCCAAAGTCACAACGGCAGCATGTGCGTGTGACATGTTAATAAGAAGAGTCGGGATGCAATCTTTTAAGTTGCGTCGGGGGTTCTGCCTGATATTCTCAGTACTGGTACAGGCAGTGGAAAGGCAAGAAAGTAAAGTCTTTTAAAGTTCTACATCCTACATGGAGAACAACCAAGGGCAGTAAAATTGTATCTATTATTCTGTTATTCTTTAGTAAGCCCAAAGAGGCTGACAAAACACAGAACCTTTTATACAAAGTGCAAACTGAACTTTTGTATTGAATATATTAATGGAAATGTCTTGGAATATGTTTTCCTAGAACCAGACCTCTAGATGTCTGTAGATGTCTGATTAAATGTCTGATAACTTGTTTTCTGTTGTAGACATACTCAAACTTTAATGAGTCTTCCTGTTATTAAGTAATTATTGACAACACAAATTATATTAAATAAATTACTGAGAAAAGCACTTAAGGTAATTAATACTAGTACAAATCTCTGGTAAACTTTTTATGCAACAACAACAAAGCCCAACACTCGAGGCCCACGTCACTGGTTTTTACAGAGCTGCGGCGCACTTCCGGTGGAGACGTGGCTCTGCGCTGCTGCTGCTGCCATATTGACGCCGTGGAGCTAACAACCTGCACTTTCCACCCATCTGTAGATCCTTCTGCGAGCAAAAACCACCGCAGCGGGGTACACGGCCAACGGACGACTGTGATTCAGTAGAAAGAGACAAAAATGGTGAGTGACAGTCAATTATAATGCGTTTTCAGAGTCTTAACAACATGAAAGCTAAGGCTAGGCTGCAGAGCTAGTTAGCTTCCTCAAACGCGACCTTATTAGTAATACATTTGGACAGGTTGTTTTAGTTCAGACTTAAAAGTATAGTAGGTTTATATATTGTGGCGGATGAGATGTCGTTTTCTTTTAATCAACTTTAGAGTTATTTATTGAAGCCCTGAGACTGGCTATGCTGACGTTCACTTCAGTAGCATCCGATGCTAACTGTGGCTTTAGCTCCTGTCAGTAGCAGGATCCTACAATTTTACTTGTTGTCAGACAATAAAAGCCACAATACATCAAAGTGGACAGTAATATTGGACATTCACGATGTCATGTTATTATTACCCTGATGTGACATTTAAACTGTTCAAACCTGCTGTTTTGTGTCTGATTGTAATTCACTTCATTGTAATTCATTCTCTACACCACTTCCTATTCTTTAAACACTTCTAAAAACCCCAGTAATTACGCGTCCATAATCTTCCCAAGCCTATATGGATTAGTAAGAACTGTGTTCTGTTACATCGCTGTAATAATATGTAAACTTATGGCTCATCATGGCGCTCTATGTTAACGATATGTTTCACTTCCACTCTGCCCTGTGCTCTTTCGACATTAACTGGATTGTAATGCCATATGCTTCTGGCATGATAAATAAGCGTCTTAAAATGAACATTATATTAGATCTATCTAAGGCAAGGTACAATATTTGTTTCTCTATGCCTGATGTTTTCCAAATTGAAGCAGGTGAATATTTTTAAAATAAAACACAATTTGAGAAATGGTAATTGGTCTTTTTAGTTGAGGCCCTATTCAGTTGATGGATAATAAGTTTGCCCTCTACAGCAGTTGTACTAAATGAGATGGATTTATTTATTTGACCATACAGTGGCACTCTCTGAAACTGAAAATCATCATCATAATAATACCATAACTAGTCACACAGTACCTCACTATTACTCATAAACATGGCTCCTACACACACGCACACCCATACACACGCACACACACAATATCATTGTTTTCTTTGTAACTCTACCCATCATCCTTTTGTGAATACACCTCATTAATACTGTGTCTGTCCCTGTCTGTGCAGGTGCTGTTGGCAGCGGCGGTGTGCACCAAGGCTGGTAAGGCCATAGTTTCGCGTCAGTTTGTGGAAATGACCCGGACACGCATAGAGGGGCTCCTGGCGGCTTTCCCCAAACTTATGAACACAGGGAAACAGCACACATTTGTGGAGACTGACAGTGTGCGTTATGTATACCAGCCTCTAGAGAAGCTCTATATGGTGCTCATCACCACAAAGAACAGCAACATCCTGGAGGACCTGGAGACACTCAGACTCTTCTCTCGTGTGGTACGGTGATTTAATGCTTAGACTCACACTCATCAAAAACACACATTTTCCCCCTTGAGTGAATGCATCTTTCTTCAAGCCTCAATATGTCCCATTAATAGAACAGACTACAAAGATTTCCTCAGATTTTTGGCCCCATAGTCTAAGAAGAAGCTGAGCAGTAAATTGGTATCAGTACTTTTTGCTTGTTGTGTTATCATAAATTTATAGTAGAACTTTATTTAGTCTTTAATCATTTCTCTTTTGATGTCTAGATGACTACCTTGGACCATTCCTGGACAAATGAGGGATTATGGACTCATTCATTACATTACTTTTATTTTAATTGCAGATCCCAGAATATTGTCGAGTGCTGGAGGAGGCAGAGATATCGGAGCACTGTTTTGACCTGATTTTTGCATTTGATGAGATCGTTGCCCTCGGATACAGGGAAAACGTGAACCTGGCACAGATTCGCACGTTTACTGAGATGGACTCCCACGAAGAGAAGGTTTTCCGAGCTGTCAGAGAGGTAATCTTTTTTAATAATATGGTTGACTTGTGAAGTAAAAATCAGGTACTCTAAAAGAATTTATTTATTGCAAATTATGCATTATATTATATTATGGAGCACCTGCCACTTGATTGTTTTCATGGAGATGTTATTGCTTTGCCTGAAATGCTACACAGTATGGTATAATCTTTCTCCATGGAGAAAAGCAAGAGACACCACAGACCAAGTTACTGGTCAAATCTGTGGACAGGCTAGTCCAGTGTAAAAATGCATGTTTTGTGTTTTCTTCAGCAATCAAACATCTGTTAATGAATAAGTGCAAGATAGAACAATTTAATGCCATACTATGGAATATTCTAGGGAACACTATAAACATGCCTTCTCATATAAGCAATTGGGGCACCTCTATTAGAAAGGTTACATAATCCAACATTAAAAAAATTATTTTATCTAAATTACAATGATTACATTGTCAAAAAATGTGCTGAATAAAGGGCGCTATCATTGTTTTGACTGTAACAGACTCAAGAACGGGAGGCCAAGGCCGAGATGAGGAGGAAGGCCAAAGAGCTACAACAGGCCAGAAGGGACGCCGAGCGTTCGGGAAAGAAAGCCCCAGGCTTCGGCGGTTTTGGCAGTGGCGGAATGTCCAGTGTCTCCTCAGGGTCCATCATCACAGACACTATCGTCGAACCAGAAAAGCCCAAAATCACACCTGCTCCTGTCAGGTAATATCTTCCAAAAACAGATAGGTGTATTCAGTGTAGTTTCCTGTCAAAGCAGCTGCCTCACAGAACTACCAATTTGACCTTATTAACTGATTTAACCATCAGGGATGCACAATATATTGCAATTGCAGTTTGAATAAGTGCAAGGGTTACAATGTGCACTCCTACAAATATATATAAATGTCAAATCTAATTGCACTTGCAAAACTTCATTAATACTTTGATTCTTCATTATCATTTTTTTTCTTAATCCATTCATTCCAAAACTATCAATATTTACATTCTTGTTTATATTCATGTGATGTTCATGCTGCACTGTATGTTTCCTCACAGACCAAGTGGACCAAGCAAAGCTCTTAAACTGGGCGCTAAAGGGAAAGAGGTTGACAACTTTGTGGACAAACTTAAATCTGAGGGTGAGACCATCATGCCTTCCACAGGAAAGAGGGGCTCAGATGCAACCAAAGTTCTGCCGCCACCAGTCAATGTTGAGAGGTACGACTGACCATTCTGATGTATTGTGTCGTATACAGCCGTATAGCAGTTAAGATTGCTTGGATCCTGCTTGTGTCTGAAGCTTAAATATACACATTAGATTATATCCTGATTCTCTGTATTTCACAAGGATAAACACCACTTACCTCAAACATTGCAAAAGTTGTATGATGGATTGTCTGTGTCTCCAGTGTACACCTGCGAGTGGAGGAGAAGATCTCTCTGACCTGTGGGCGTGACGGCGGTCTTCAGAACATGGAGGTCCTGGGAATGGTCACACTACGAGTCACAGACGACAAGAACGGACGCATCCGCCTCATGATCAACAACAACGACAGCAAAGGACTGCAGCTGCAGGTAAGTCCAGCCCTCACTACTGTAACACTGGCACCAATGTGCTGTCAAAACACAGTTCTTCAAATTATTAAATGTTGTAAACAAGTATTAGATTGTGTGCATCAGGGTGTTAAATTAAATATTTATATTTGATGTATCTGTTGATTATATAAAAGTGCAGATGCTAGAACAGATTTTTTGTGAAAACTGGAAAAAGTAGTTTTAACACTATATCCGAGCTAAAACGAGCTATAACCAAAAAAAAATCAGGTATAGCTACTAAATCCTAATATATAGCATAGGGGAGACAGAATTTTTGTGAGACACAAGACGGGGTCCACGAGATTGAGACTAGGGCTGCAACTAATGATTATTTTCTTATAGATTAATCTAATAACAAATCTAATAAAAATTCAGCTATTTTTTTTTTTTCAATTACTCTTAATTAAATTATAACTGTAAATGACTGCAATGAGAGCAATTTGTTCCAAATTTTCCATAAAGATTCATCTTATTGTTTCTGTTAAATAGACTTTGTCTTATAGGGGCATTGCTCATTATGTTACTATGTCAAGTAATAGTTACAGGGTTCAAGACAAGGACATAAAATGCTGCTTAAGGCTATAATATACAGGTGGTAATGCAGAACAACACTTATGGTCAGCCCCACATGGTCAGACCCATGGTTGTTTAAAGAACAGCTGACAGGGTGTTTTGCGCTGTGCTCAACATGTCAACAGTCTGCGGTGCTGCGCGCCTGTACTCTGTCAATGCTCTACTGTGTGTGTCTTTACAAATGTACTGCTGTGCTTTGAGCAGAAAGCGTGGATGTTCAGAACGTACTTGTTCCTATTATATCTGACACATTAATTAAAGGTGATGCATCAACGTGCTCTACAGCCGTCGATGTATTTTCCTAGTTGACGAATCATTGCAGCTGTAATTGAGACAAGGCGAGCTTTTGAAATAATTTACAATAAATCAATTCACAATTGGTCACATTATTTTAAATTGCTTTCATTTTTTATATATTGTGTAATTGTGAATTGTGAATGCATTTTATGTGTTGATAGTTTGAAAAATGACCAAATTAAGTCATTTTCATCATATGCATTTAATAGCCTAAATGCGTTAAATGCCCTTTATGCTGTAAGGACCAGTTCTGCAGTGTAAATCCCCACATGCATCACTACTGGTTAATACAATATAGTCAGTATACAACATATCCATTAAACTTACTTACACTTATTATTATTATTTTGATTCACTATACTGCGCTACAGCAGCTCAAATCTCAAAGATATGCAACTTTCCAGAGGATGAGCGAGATGTGACCCTTTCATGCCATTGCCTTGTTTTTCATTTGTGCACACAGTCTTGTGGCAATTTTCTCTCCTCCCATCCCTACTATAGCATAATGTTGCCTTTGCGTCAGTTGTAGATGAGAGAAACTTGTACCATTAACTGTTATATAACTGGAAACTTCATAAATTTTTTTTACCCCCAGACACATCCCAATGTGGACAAGAAGCTTTTCACAGCTGAGTCGGTGATCGCCCTGAAAAACCCAGAGAAGTCGTTCCCTCTCAACAACGACGTTGGAGTTCTGAAGTGGAGGCTACAGACCACAGACGAGTCCCTCATACCTTTAACCAGTGAGTGTCTCTGAGCATTATCATATTGGAATGTTGTTACCTCATCATACCTCGAGCTGTTTTTTGTTTCATTCACACAAGTTTAATGATAAAGGATTACTCAATCTGTCTCTCAAGCTCAAAATGCTCTGTTCTACCGTTTGATGTCATGTAGTGGTAGTTTTCAAGTCAACAGCTACTTTTGTTCAGTAAAGATGGATAATTCCAGGACTGAAATCATCCAAATGATTCTAGTGACAGTGCATGGAGTTTAAAGACACAGTGAGGCACTTTCAGTATTATCAGATGACATCATAGGGTGGAACAAGTGTTTCCATTTGAGAAAGGAATTGAGCCTAAACATGCAGGATTTGTGTGCTAAACATGTGAATGCAACAAAACACAACTTCAGGTGTGTTTGTGATTGTAACATGAATTCGAAAATAGGCTTTTGTGGTGCGAGAACTCTTGTGTAATACCTGGTTCTTTTCTCCACAGTAAACTGCTGGCCTTCAGAGAGCGGGAGTGGCTGTGATGTTAACATTGAATATGAGCTTCAAGAAGACAGCCTGGAGCTTAATGATGTGGTCATTAGCATCCCTGTACCGTAAGTATCTGCAGAAATGTATGTATTTTTATCAAATGTAACAATATAAAAATGTTTGTACATTTTGGGACATTTTAGTGTAATGAAAAAAAGTTTATTCTACAATTTAATGGTGCACTATGTAATTTCTATGGTGGAGGGTCCACTACTTGCTTGTTTCCTTTGAGATGTTAGGGTTAGGGTTCTGTGGGCTCTGAGCCTCTGGTCTGGTCCCGGTCTGGTCCTGGTCTTGTCTCGGTCTCAGGCCCGCTCTGGTCCCGGTCTGGTCCCAGACCTGGTCCATTTGAACCAAAAGCTCTTAGTTCGGTTTGTTTTCGTTGGTGTGAAAGCATCAATTGGATGCTTTGCACCACCTCGGAACCAGCCGCGGTTCTTGAGCGCGGAGGACGGAGCAGCCCGTCCGGACCTGTAGTCCACAACGCGTTCTCGCTTTCCCCGCACGGAACCAGCGCACAGATGATGACACGAAACCGCTCGGACCGCTGGTCTTGGTCTCAGTTCCGCTCTGGTCCCGGTCTGGTCCCGGTCTGTCCCGGTCTGTCCCAGTCTCAGTCCCGCTCTGATCCTGGTCTGCTCTCGACCTGGATCAGTCCTGGTTCAGTCCGTACGCAGTGCAAAAGTCCAATATCGCAGTCACGGAAGTCACGTAAACGGGAAACGGGCGTTATCCGTTTTTTTCCATTCTTCATTTAAACACAAAATCGAAAACTGAAACAACTAATTGTCATCCGTTTTTTTATGTTGGTTTTGGAGACAAATAATGAAGAAAACTGTTGTTTTTTCGTTTTCTTATTTTTGGTTTTATATTGAAAAATTAATGAACGAATGATACACGGATTAATTTCCTAGTTAGCCAGAGTGTTGGAGACTTGTAGAGACAGTTTTTAAAAAATATTCCAGCCAGTCCTTCTATTTGCAGAGGTCGCTTGTGCTAGGCTAGTGCATGTCAGTGGCCATAGTTAGCCTGCTGCTAAAAAGTCTCCAGACCCACTCCAAAAAGCACCCGAAGCAAATCTATTATTAGTCAAGACTATTGATGTGAATGTCTGTGTTGATAGAGTAATGTTTGAAATCAAACTAACCTTGCATCGCATGAATCGTCAGATGTTGAGGGACTATTTTCTCAGCAGCAGTGGAATTGTAGTTTGCTGGTAAAATTGGTGCTAGGTGACATCAGTCCACCGCTTCCAAGCTTTCTATCAGGAAATACAACTCGCTGCTGCTGCTCAGACATAAATCCTTTAAATGCAAGGTTGGTTTTACTTCTAAAATTATTCTATCGACAGTCTGGTGTTATAATTGTTTGGCCTCGGGTGCTTTGTGGAGTAGGTGTGGAGAGGCAGGCTAACTATGCAAACATGAGGACTGGATGGAGTATTTTTAAAAAAAAGTGTCTCCACACATCTCCAACCCTCTTGACTAACTAGGAAATTAGGTGCTATGTCTAAAATTCCAGATTGTCCCTTTAACCTGTCTTCATTGTGGTTACCAAATTTATTTCTGTATTGTGGAATAATAATAATGGCCAAATTAACAATATCTCCATGGAGATGAGCAGGTGGCAGACCATCTACCAGAAAAGTTACACAGTGCACCTTTAAGCTCTAGTTTATTAATACAGTACTCTTACAAATGGCAATTGCTGCTCTAAAGTACTGTACAAGGTCAGGTATGACACAACAATATAATAACACCTATATTATAATGAATAGAACAATGGTCATAATCATTCAAATGGAGATTTACACTGGATAATTTTAAGCATTTTGTTTTTGCGATGCATAGTAATAAAAATTCAGTGTCTCACAATTTGAATATTACATAACATTACATAAACTATAAATAATGGTAGAATTCTGTTCTTTATTTCATAATTTGAATCAAATACTATACCACCTTTTTAGTGAAGGATTATTTTCTGATGTACCTTCATGTATTAGGGTAGAATACTAACTGATACTAAAACTAGTATTGAAATTAGATACTCATTAGAGTATTGAGCAGAATGAGCTTGAGTTTTAACTAATATAAGACTTCTTGGTAACATAAAGAAAGTAGTATTTTGTGCTGTTCTATCAAGTAACTTTAGCATCAAGGTATCCAGTATCAGGCCTATTCATTATTGTCACTATTGAGAATTTGGATATTGTGACAACACTAGTATGTACCTCAGGTCCGGTGTGGGGGCTCCAGTGATCGGGGACCTGGATGGAGAATACAAACACGACAGTCGGCGAAATGTCCTGGAGTGGTGCCTTCCGGTGATCGACGCCAACAACAAAACGGGCAGCCTGGAGTTCAGCATCGCAGGACAACCCAACGACTTCTTCCCCATCAACGTGTCGTTTGTGTCCAAGCGCAACTACTGCGACATCCAGGTGAGATGGTCTTGGAGTTCATTAATCTACCTCTGACTAAGATGGATATTACATGGGCACAGCAGCTCGCATAGAAATAGGTTATCTATTGTCTATTAGTTTTGTGGGGGCTATATGTTTGTCTTAACTCAATAAGTGTAATGTAACTTTTTTTTTTTTACTTTGTTTTTGATTGACACTGAATATAAAGGGGCAGAAATGGTATTTTGGTTTGATATCTGTGTGCAGAAATGTACATTACAGACACCTACATTTTGTTTATAGTCATTTTTTTGTAAACATGCACTGATTTCAGCTTTTTCACTCCAAATTTTTCAATTTTGGTGATGCGTGCAAAGACTCTAAAAAAACAAGTTAAAATATTATCTGATTAAAATATTAAATTAAACACAGCAACCTTTTTTAGTTAGTAGTAACTAATACTATATTTAGTAATTCTTTTACTAGGTATCCAGTAATGAGTGGCGTGTGAATAAAACTTGTCTTTCTGTATTGTCCAGGTTACCAAAGTGGCTTATGTAGACGGTGACAGCTCTGTTAGATTCTCTTCTGAAACCTCCTTTGTGGTCGACAAATATGAAATCCTGTAAAATAACATCAAAAGAAAACAACACAAATCTGAAAGTGGAGAAAAAAAATCAGCAACATCACGTCTATAGAGAAAGATTGAAGAAAACCTGCCTGCTCACCCTGTATCCGACACCACAGACTGTGCAAATCAACAGGACTATGGGAGCCCTCCTGTTTGGAGTAGAGCAGCGGTGGTGTATTTATGTTTGTATAAGAGAGGATCTGCTATATATAGATTAAACCAACACAATTTAAAACTACATTGATGCTGTTGTTTTCACTGAGCAGGACTGTAAACATGGATCGTACAGTAAGTAGGGGATGACTGGAGCTAAACCACAGAGGAACCAGAAGTGTATGGCGCCCTCTAAAGGCTGGCCCAACCCATAGCATTTGTGAGCAAGTTTTGCCTCCTAAGAACCATATATCAACAATATCTTGCTTTGCTTTTTAACGGTTTATCCATAATTTTGTTCTGTTGTGCTTAATGTCTGCAGATTTGTAGCCTTGTCAATCATTATCTTAAAAATGATCATATGTATGTCTTCTGATTTGCACAATACTTCTCATACTATCTTTAATTGTACACAGTGTAAAAGCACTATCTCTCACAATTTTTGTTTAGACTGTAGAATAGTGGACTGAGAAACCACTGGAAGAAGGACAACTTTTTTTTGCAATGGTTAAGTACTATACAAGTACTAACTGTAAACCTAGCATCAAATTTTAGCAAAAAATAATGGAATAATAAGTTAAAATTGTGTACTCTTTTCATGTCCCATCTAGTCAACACATGATTAACATTTAAAGTGGAGTATCACTTTCCTACCAGGCCAATTAGCATGCATGTTTTTTTTCTTTCAAAAAGCATAGGGAGAGCTACTGGTACCATCAAAATGTTCTCTTTTTGCAGTTACAATCCTTAAAAGTTTCGCATCAGTCCACTTATACTTCTGTCTCTACTTTAATGCTAAAAATGGAGGCTACATGTCCTTATTTTTGCTGTATGTTTTGTCACTTCTCACTGTCCAATGTTTGATAAAAGTGATTTAGTTTGAAGGGGCGCTTGGCAGGAAACAGACCTGGAATTAGTGAATTGTTCTTATCTATGTTGGTTTAACACTATCACTCCTCATTTGTCTAATTGCTTTGCTTAAAATGGACTGCATGTTTCTGTCTGGTTAATTTACTGTAGTCCAAACAGTATTTAAGTTAAGCCCTGAATCAACAACATGCCTTCTTAATCTGGAGTCCCATAAGGTATTAAAAATGTGAGAGATTTTGGTTGGACCGACTGCCTCTCTCACACCCAGTCATCCTTTACTTACTTTAGCATGATTCAACTCCTACTTTTTGTCTTTTTGTCTTTTGTTTTTCATTTCTACTTCTCTCCAGAGTTCAATTTAGCCATGTTTTGTGGATGTGGGTTGACAATGACTAGATTGAGCATTTTTAACTGAAGTACTGAAGGGGAATCCTAACATTCCAGTGTACAATTAGAGAAGACTCTTTAATGGAATAAAATGTATTATTGAAAATGTATCTCCGCCTGGGTTCACTCTTGTTGCATGGCCTGGTCAGATTTTTTACATTATGGAGAATACACTACTACTATTTTCTTTTTCTTTTCTTTTTTTTCATCAAAGCAAGGGGTGGCTACTTTGAGGATTTGAAATGAAACTGAAATTAGTTATTGGACTTTACTCCTTACATAGTCCATATATCTTGCATCATATTTTTGATGTCTTCTGTATATAAAATTTAGAAAGTTGCAAAAATTTAATCAGATGGTATATCCAAACTTTTGACTGGTAGTGTATTTAATATATAAGCATTCACTTGTTTTGTTTTAGCGCCATTTAATTACTGAAAAATATCTCAAAGGAGAATGACTGTGTAGAAAGTATACATAGACTGATAATGCATGGATCAGAGAATTGGATCCATAAAGTCTTTGTTACCGCTTTTTAGACAAAATTTTATATGCTACCAATTTTAAATAGTTCTCTTTAGCCATTTTTGTAGTAGAAGTAACTTACTGTCTTCTGTCACATTCAACTTTGGGTTTAAAAATATATAATTCCTAGTCTATAATATCAAATCTAAAATGCACACAAAGAGGGTCACATGTCAGATCTATAGACGTATAGAAAGGATGCGCTGTAATGGCTATTGTCTTCAATCTTCAGCATAGACAGATGTCAAATTTGGGTTGACCACAGGATTAAACAAAATTCTGTAAACCATATACTTTCAAAAATATCGGCAGGGTTTATGGTCATTGGCTTCTATGGATTCTAAAAAGAAAAATCTGTGTCTGCATTAGCTATGAAAAAGAACATATAATGTAGATCTTTCTCTAATAAAAAGTCCAACACAATGGACATAAATGGGCACTTGGGCACCAGACGCCTGGTCATGTCTGAGTTTGGATGGAGCCACTGATGATCCACAGGTGACTCATGGTTCAGAGGCCTCTTCCACTGTGGCACAGGGCTTAATGTGTTTGTGCCCACTGTGCAGGGGTCAAAGGATCAAACAATGACTCAAATGTCAAAACAAACTCTGTCTAGTCTTTGTTCATGTGTTAATGGAGGAGAACAGTTTGCATTTAAAGGATAGACTTAAACATTCATAGTAAAAACATTCATTTTAGGCTACATAAATATTTTGCACAAATAAAATCTTAAACCTTTATTGCTAAAATATTGTAATCATCTATGCCTTTGTATGCCTTGGTCTCAGCACAAGGTTTTGACATGACTCTCCCCACTCTTCACCCCTCACAGATGAATGCCTTTTATTTGATCATATTTCACTGTTATTATTGCAAAACAAAATGTAATTCTGTCACCTGGACAAAAGTGTTTAGGGTGGAGTTTTACTTTTAGGTAGACAAAGACAGTAAGAAATATCTTAAAAGTTAAGTCCATTGAATCATTATTATTGATTGTTTAAAAGTACTATATTACATAAAACTGACTTTTGAGAGTTTTAAGTGATATTATAATGCTGTTACCTCACTGAAAATATACCTGGAGTTGTGTTTTCTTTCTTTCATACATGTGAGTAATCCTGGTTTATTAATCTGTCTAGAGAACTCAAAATGCTCCGTTCCACCTTGTGATGTCATGAAGCTGTAGCAGCTCTTTTTATCTTTAGTTTAGAAGAGTTTGTTAATTCCAGGGCTGAAATTATCCATATGATTCTAGTGAAGGTGTATGAAGTTTAAAAACACAGTGGAGCACTTCCTTCATCACGACATAACCTCACACGGTGGATGTGTTTTCCGTTTGAGAGAAGAACTCAGCCTAAAAGTGCAGGATTTGTGTGTGACATATTTGTGAATGAAACAAAACAAAACTCTACATATGTTTTTGATAAGGAAACGCCATTTTAAGGTGATCATAAGGTCATCATAATTGATCAGAAAATAGCGTAGTATGGGCCCTTTAATGTTGGACCCTATGGTCAAAGCACATTCCTAATTTGTGAATTTTGACAATGGAAATAAAGGCTTTTCTGATTCAAATTCTTACATTTTAAATTGAATTATAAATGTGCGTATTTGGACAGCATGAAGAAAGTGGAGAAAACTTTGGGAAAACTTTTGGGAGTACAAAATATGAAGTAATCTAATCTAACTTTTCTCATGCAGGTTTACCACTAGAAGCTCCCACTGCAAATTACTTTATAAAATTGACCATGACTTTGTGGCTTCCCCATATGGGACATGTGTTACGTCAGATGTCCACAGACGCTGTGACCGGACAGATGGGTCAATGGAGACGAGCCCTAAGAAGACACAAGAAAAGACTGTCTCCGGTGGGGGTGCAGAGAAGAGCGGGGCTGTCCCAGGTCAGCACACAGGAGGGGGTTAAAGACAGCTTACCAGCGCCCATATTTGGAGGAAGGGGAGTGCTAATAGCGTCGCACCAGTCATAAAAAAGTGGGCGTTTCTTTCCGAATGAATGAGCAGCCTGATAAGCTCTTTGTGAATAGGTCTCAGAGGAGGGCGAGGGGAGAGAGGGGAGAGCCGGACCATAGAGGACTACACACTGTTGTCTTTGGCACACTATACACACAAGCTGTCTGCATGTTTTGACTGTGATTTTAAAAGAGGAGTTCAAACTGCATGGGAGAGTCGACCTAGTGGAAGCCTGCACCTGAATGGAGTAAAAGTACTGAAGAAAAAGTACTGGGATAAAAGTACTGAAGAGATTTGCAGAAGAACTTTGTGGATAAACAGATGATGCTGAAGAAGGTGCGATTCAAGGTAAGAAGCTATCTGTCTATAAACTTTATTTTGGTATGACTGAAATTTTGTAAATATAACTATACTTTTTTTTTTTTTAAGCTAAATCAAATGTTATTTTTAATTGTTTTACTGGCTTCAAATTCATACAATTTAACCCTCTATAGTAAATTTATGCAACTACTCGTTTCTGTTTCTATTCTGTGATTTATTATGTGATCATGTGATGTGATTATTCTTTACTCAGTCAGACAAGAGTGCAAAACATACAAATTATGATACAGTTTTGTCACTTCCCCCAGTCATAAAGTTAACTATCTTTATTTAATGTTATTAATAGAACATTAGTAAAAGGGGATATTTTTCAAAGAAAACTGGTATCTTCAATTGAGATTACTATCTATGGGTCTCAGTACGGCTTCAGACTGCTGCCATACTGATAAACAATTTAAAACAAAATATTATACCTTCTGACAGAGAAAAAAGTCCTCAAAGTGTCATGTACAACCAGAAGCTGAAATCCGTGGATAGTATTATATTAATTTAAATGGCAAAAGTACTAAACCTGACGTGAGAAAGGTTGACTTCTAGTTTCTGAGCGTTTCATTCCCTGTGAGCGTGTTTCACGTTGGGTCTGAACAAAGTGGAGCAGTGTTTTCTCTTCCTCGTGTCCTCAGTTCAAAGGTTTGTGCCGCTAAACCCCTGAGCTCACACCCGTGTGGTAATTACAGAGACCGCCGTCACTTCAAATACTCACTACTGCAACAAGTTACCAGGCTTAAGTCGAGTGATTGAGTCAGGAGATAGTAGGGTCTGTTAGTGTGAGTAGTTGGGATTGGTTCTAATGAGTCAGTTTAAAGGTCCTATAATACACAAAATGAATTCTTGAAAGCTTAAAGTCATGTTAGAATGTTGTTACCTCATCAAAAACATACCTGGACTCATGTTTTGTTTCATTTACACATGTTTGACTAAACCTGGTTTATTAGTCTGTTTACGTTTACATCTCCAAAGCTCAAAATGCTCTGTTCCACCTTGCGATGTCATTTAGGGGTGGTTTGGCGCAGGTAATTCCAACTTCACTTAAAAGTAATATGTTTTGTTGCAGGAACAGGAGGGCCATCTGGTATAAAAAAAAAGTGCAATATTAGATTACTCATTACTCATTATAACTAATTTTTTTGTAAACACACTTGGTTTCCCAATTTTTCAGGTGTAAAATTTTAGGTTGGAAATTATGATATCACACTAGGGAATTACATAACTGTCACCTAGCAAAATTCCTCTAATGTACACAGAAATTATTATATGACAAATACAAATATAAGAAAACACCCTTATTTGGTTGAAATCATGTTTAAATCATCAGAAAAATTTATTAGTTTCTTTTGTTTAAATTGTGCTGAACTTTTGCATTGAATTCTCCTTAGCACAATGTCAACAGTATGTTTTAGAATGTTCTACTTCTTATAATTTTCAACATATTTTTCAACTTTTCTTCGCAAATTGTTTCTTGATTTGTCTAATACTATAATTTATATTTACAATAATTAAAATCGTATCAAATGAAGTGAAAATGAGAGAATCATAAAAACCTGTCATATGTACTTTAATAGAAGTGTGAAATGTGTGTTTATCATTAGCAAACTGCAGGATGTCTATTGTTGCATAGGCCACTGTGATCTTTGCAATGGGCCCCTTGGGTTCAACTATAAAGAGGAGGGGACCATTCTGTTTGAGACCTATTCACCCCTGTTAATGTAACTAGTCGTAAAGGTGCACTATGTAACTTTTTGGTTGGGAGTCTGTCACAGGCTTTTTTCTATGGATATGTCACTGCTCTGCATGAAATGTTCCACAGTATGACATTAAAAAGCTCTAACTTATACTCATTTAATTATTTTACAGGTGGTTTTATAGCTAAAACATACCTCAAAAAAGGACATTGGGACTGTGAGTGGGGCTTGGTCTGGTTTTGTCTCCATGGAGATAGAAAGCTTAAATGCCGTACTGTGAAACATTCCAGACAAAACAAGAAAACCATCTGACATAACCTCCACCAGAAAAGTTACACAATGCACCTTTAATTATAGGATTACACCATCACTGACTGTAGCATTATGGTGTTTGGGAGATAGAGATTAGGAACTGGTTTGTGTTTTCTGTCACTTTTTTTTACTTGTCACCTGTTTGGCGTCAGCTACTCCGAGGTGACGCTATTCCCAGGACCTGACACACTGTAAAACAAGACACAGTAAAAGTGAAAGAAAATAAAATCAGCAGGGGACTTTTTAACTCGAGAGGAGGAAGTTGCTACTCTTAATTATAGCACTATTTCTTAAAAATTCAACAGCTCAAGAATAGGATTTTTAGGAAATGCATAGTCATCAATTTGGTTATGTTATTTGAGTGAAAAAGAGGGCTATGGTTTGTAAGATTTAACATTGCTACAACTTGTGACACTTACTTCCTCTTTTGTGCTATCTTTACTACGTTAATGACTGCTATTATTATTGACACTACAATTACCTATCACTGTGATGCCTCACTGTGGACCCCAACTTTCCTTAAAGGGCCCATATTCACACATGTTTAACACACAAAAACAAACAGCAACAAACTGTTAAATGTAGCTGTCAACTTGAAAACTACTGCTTCATGACATCGCAAGGTGGACCAGAGCATTTTGGAGCTGTAAATGTAACAGAGATGTAATGCAGAATTACTCAGACATGTGTGAATGAAACAAAACACAACCCCAGTATGTTTTTGACAAGGTAACAACATTATAACATGGTTTAAAGTTCACAAGAATCAATTTTGCATAATATTTTAACTTTAATACAACTACTGCTACTTCTTTTGCTTTACACTTAGTCAGTGTCAGTGAAGATTGCATGTTTTGAAGACAGATATTCAGACAGACAGGTCTAAAAAGTATATTGGACAAATGTTGAAGCCTCATGTGGAATTTCTTCTGTGTGGCCATTCAAACAGATCGACTCAGGCTCACGCTTCTATGCCACATTTAAAGTCCTGTTTCCTGTACAATGGACTCTTTGACTTTTAGTTATAGCCTATAGGATCTCTCACATAAAATCATACCTACTTTCTCCTGACTCATGGATTTGAACATTTGTGGATTTCGTGTAATCTTAAAAATAATAATTCATATGATATTATGACTTGGCTAAAAACCTAAAAGACCAAAAATATAGCACTAAGGAAGAAGCTGTACAAAATTAGATAAGTATTATTTTCATTTTCAGAAGCAGGTAGTCTAATTCAAATGTATTTCCTATAATGCCCATTCACTCCATCACCACTAGATGGCACTCATGTTCCACTATTTAGCTTCACAGTCCACATTCACCGCAATTCTTAACTCTCCCCAAAGACCACCTTTTGCCGGCCACTGTCAAAACCATTTCTCTGCTCTTAAATAAAGCATGACATGAGCAGTGACAAGAACCCATTGTATAAAAAAAAAAAAAAATCGTATAGCCTCAGCGTTGTCAATGAACGCTTCTGAACAATGTGGTGATTTAGCCTAAAATAATCTCCATTTCGCGTGGTTCAGCATGGCCCGGGGCTTCACAGGGAAACACGTGGGAGTCTCATCCACCCTCCCAAACACTAAAATATATGGACCGATTTGTTTCCTTTATACATTCTTTCCCTGTGTGTCGGCTTGACGCGCTCGATCCAAGTCGCAGTCCAAGGATTTTTTGTTTTAAGGAGGCCTAGCATGCACCGATATGTCTAAAAGGGAGAGAAGTCAGCGCCCATTGAAGAGGTCTTTGATGTTGCAGGGTCTAATGAGTGATCCCCCGGCGTAGCCCTGCAGCCTGGCTCTGTGCGTCTCTCCATAAAGATTGAATGAGAGCGCGTGGGTGCGAGGCTGCTACTGACACGAGAGGGAGGGAAGGGAGCGTAACCAAATATGCTTCTGATTAAACGTGAAAGCCCGGAGCGTTTACTGTCTCGGTTTATGCTAAGTTTGTGAGGCAGTGGCGTGCGTATTTTACATAAAAGTCGAGTTTACCTTTTATTTTTGGAGGTGAGGATTGCTCCAGGCTCATCCTTCAAGTGCACCGCGTGTTTGGCAAATTTCCTGCGTCAACACAAACGCGCAGTGCCACATTGCCAAGGTCGTGTTGTTTGAAAGCTTCAGTGATCGTTTTTCCAGATTTGATTAATGGTCCAATATATTTTGCAAAACTGACTCTTGTGAGCTTTTAGCCAGGTTATAATGACGTCACCTCATCCAAACCAAATCTGGAGTTGTGTTTTCTTCCATTCACACATTCGAGTGACGATTTATTATTAGTCTGTCTATAACCTCAACATACTCTGTGCACCTTTTGATATAATGAAGCGGTAGTTTTCAAGTTAACAGCTGCCTTTACCTTTTTCAGTAGACATGAGCAATTCCAGGGATGAAGTTATCCAAATGATTCAAGTACGGAGTTTTAAAACACAATGGAGCACTTCCTGTATTACCACATGACATCACACGGTTGAACAGTGTTTTCTGTTTCAGAGCAGAATACAGCCAAATATGCAGAGTTTGAGTGTTAAACGTGTGAATGAAACAAAACACATCTACAGGTATAAAGGAGGGGAAAAAACTGAGGCACTGAAAAAGTACAATAATTTAAAGCTTTTAATACCACATGGCAGATAAATTTAAAATCTCCTTCGGCCAAAACACGTTGGTGTGATTTAAACTTTATCTACCATGTGGTATTAAAGGCTTGTACTTTTTGAGTGCCTTAGTTTTTCCCCTACTTTGTATTTGAGACTGTTCCCAACATTAAAGAGCACCAAAAGGACAATTCTACACAATTTTGGTATATCCAAGTAGCACTCCTGCCCCCAAAGCTTTGCACACCTACAGGTATGTTTGTGATGAGGAAACACTATAACATAGACCAAAAAATGGTGCTATATTGGCCCTTTAAAAGCCTGATGTATTGTATTATATCTACTGGCAAAGAAGAAATTCAATTTGTCAGCTGGACAAAAGTTTATTTTGGTCAAAAATGTTTTGGAGCTCATCCAAACTGCTTCTTCAGTTCTGTTCTCTTCAATTTCTCCTTTCTACCTGGATGGCTGAGAGATTCTACACATTATATTATACAGTCATTGTTACAGGTTTCTTCATTTAGTTGCAAATATAGGCTAATTTTGCAGGAACCACTTGGGAAATTTTGACTCCAAATGAAACAAGCCTATACAAGATCTAAAAAAAAAACTTGGCTACAGTAAAATATGAGCATGAAGAGGCCAGACAAAATACTTGAAGTGTAGATGCAATCTTTTATAAGACTCATGAAGCACTGTGGCATAGTGGTGAATGCTTTCAACACATAGCAATTTTCCTCATAATAAATGTCCTGTATTATGTAACATTAATTCTCATGAGTTTTAAGTCATGTTAGGATGTTGTTACCTCCTTAAAACCATACAGTACCTGAAGCTGTGTTTTGTTTCATTCACACATGTTTGAGTTTATTATTAGTCTGTCTACTGTTAAGTTAACAGCTCCCTTTTACCTTTTGTTCAGGAGAGATTTACATTTTCAAGGCTGTAATCATCCAAATGATCCAAGTGAAGGTGGACACAGTTTTAAAAACACAGTGGAGCACTTCCTGTATTTCCACATGCATTACAAAGTGGAAAAGAGTAATTTCTGTTTGGGAGAAGATCTCAGCCTGAATATGAGGTTTTTGTGTATTAAATGCATCAATGAAACTATACACATCTCCAGGTTGTGATGAGGAAACAACACTATAACATGGATCAGAAAATAGAATAATATGGGCATTTTAAAACATAGACAAATCCTCAATTTATAGCTTATTCCAGATAAGGATCCTGTCATTAGCGCTGATGAGGGAGAGGTACACTACATTGATCCTAACATTCTCTAGCAGCTCTGACAAATATGTCTTAATACTTCTAGAGCACAAAATCCCTGGTTACCTCAGGATGAAAAACTGTCTTGGAGCAATACTTATTCCAGGACACATAATAGTAGTCTGCACATAAAGTCATCCTTAATGTTCACTCCTCTCAAAGTGTTTTTTCTCATGTATTTGTATAGACTGTGTGGAATGTAATGTATGTCACTTTATTGGCAGCTCCACAGCACAGTCCGTTCTGGGAGTGGATCTTTTGCGGTTGTACTTGGGGTTTCTCCTGTTTCTCATGGGTGCTCAGGCTCTGGGATTTCTCTATCTGAGGGTGTTATTTTGTGCAGCCTGTACTCGAGTTTAGGGGCCTATCAGATAAAATAGGAACAACTAGTCTGGGGCCATTTCTATAAGATAAGTATCATAAAAAAATAAAAGTATTACAGATTGGAGTTGGCCTAAACAGGTGTACAATATGGACTACATCTTTGGCACAGTAGTTCTAATCAAGAATTTCCCTAGTGGGGCCAAAATGTGAATAAAATAGACTCTAAATTAGGAAGTGCCTTTGTCACACTGCCATCATATTATATATTATAAATCTTGCTTATTACTTTTGCTGTGACTTGTAACTTGATGTGACTCTGTTATTGCTAAGTTGATATGCTCTGTTGTTACCAAGAAAATGACTAATATATATATATATATATATATATATATATATATATATATATATATATATATATATATATATATATATATATATATATATATATATATATATATATATATATATATATATATATATATATATATATTTTTTTTTTTTTTTTTTTTTTAAGTAAGGAAAACACACAGCTGAAGAGCTATACACATACCAAAATCTGAGAAGCATTATAGACTCAACATATTTTGATCTCACCTACAATCAAATCAGCATACATTGAAATTTACATTTCTTTTTTTTATTAAAAATATATATTTTCTTAAACAATAACAGAACAATAACCAACACAATCTGTGAGGCATACCGGAATAAAATTGAAATTGAAAAACAATGAAACAGTTGCAGTCATATTCAAAAAAAAAAAAAAAAAGTTTCACTGCCACTTTCATATTCATGATTCTTGACAACAAGGTCAATCCCAGGTCTTCAGATGTTTCTTTAATTGTCATATTTTATTAACATTCAGAGCGGGTGGTCACAGTGGGAGACAGATGGATTTCCAGTATTCCAAAAAATTCAGAAAATAAAGGTGCTTTTAAATTTTCCACCACATACTGTTATTCTTTTTAGTCTGTGCCAATGTCTGAAGTGCTCTTGCAGAAACAGTCATAATAACCAGCAGATTGGCAGGTTCAATGTGCTGCAGTGCATTATGGGAGATGCAAGATGTTTTTGCTCGGAAACTGTGTGATACAAGCTGACATGTGAGAGTAAATCAAGGCACATCCCACCAGAGTTCAGCCCAGGAATGTGCAGGTTGTTATATCCAAATTCAAATGGAGCCAAAACACATGCAAAAAATGCTAAACATGCCTTTGTTATATGTAGATACCGAAGATATTCATTTTTCAAGGAAAATAGATTGTAGAAGACCATCTGAGATACAACTGAAAAAGAAACTTTTTTTTTTTTTTTTTTTTTAATAAATTACCTTTTTTACATAATGATTTAAGAAAGTGTAGGAGTAAAGGTAGTTATATCAGCAGCCAAACTAACAGGTATCACCATTTACTATAGTACTAGCTGTATTAATAATAGTAATTATTTTATTTTATGAATTATTTAAACAGGAGGGTATGTTGAGATTCAGAATCTCTTTTTCAAGACAGACCTGGCCAAGGTAGCAGCCAACACACTCAATACACAATAGTAAAATAACAAAATAATTATCATTTTAAAAGGTAATTAGCAGTGATATCATGTTTTATAGAAGTATAGTAGACTATACTGAATAGAGACATTTAGCGGTAAGTATTTAGTATAATTTCTAAGTATTATTTGGCAGTAACAGTAGGACTACTTAATGTGATGCAGATTTTGGATATATCTATATATTTTAGATTGAAATAGATTATATGGTCAACTACATATGACCAATTGCATAACTGTGACACGCATCCACCTTTATAAATACTACTGTACTGTTCTCCTTATATAATGTATGCATATGTGGTATTTCCTCTCACTCCTCTGCAGTCCCAAACATAGCTGTGGTTTTTGGGTGTAGATTGGCTTGTACCGTCTGGATGAGTGTCTTCTGTTTACTCTGCACACTTCTGTCACATTGGACCAATTAAATAACATCTGGAGTCTGCACATCTGCTTCTGTGGATCCAGGACCTCTGTGGGCTTTGGCATCAAGAACACAGCAGCCATAGCTCACTGTGATCCATGTCCAAACTTAGAAAATGTCTCTTGATACTTTGCAGCTGATGTCATCAGCATTCCCTGGGGCTGTGATGCTAACTGTAGGCTCTGCTCTGTCTGAAGCTCTCTGACTCAAGTTAGACTTTAATCTGAGCTTTGCTTTAATACAATCTGACCAGAAAGAGTTGACATAGTCAGAACTACAACAGGTGATCTGATTTGTGCTGTTAAACAAGTCCCTCTCAAATAATATTAGTCATCACCTTTTTTCAATTAGTCACTCTCACCTTTATGTTGAAAATCAAACTAAACTCCTAAACAGGACCTTGAACTCTCATATTGATCACACGCCCCAGAAAATGTGCTGTTCACATTTGTTTTTAGTCACCATTTTAGCTTTTCAACCACCATTAGAGATACATTTAGAACACCCCAAGCGTGATGTCACTGCAAAGTATCAATTAAACTCTTTTTTTAAAAGACACAGTATGAGATTTTGCATAAGAATGAATTAATGTGTCAACTGTCAATAGGTAAACTTGTTCTAATAGAATATAGCTTTTACTGATGACAACTGTAATTTATACATAATTACAAAAATACTGGACAGAATGGTTGTTTATGTTATAATTTGGTGCTTTATACAATCTTAAAGGCGAAATAGCCTCGCAGGAGTCTCTCGTTTGGGTTGCCAGTTTCTACGACTAAAACAAATTGCATAAAACCTAAAGGACTCTCTCAGATCTGAATGGTCAGTACCTAAATCCCAGCACAATAAACCCAACCATGAATTAGTGCTAGTGCGGCCTCTGCAGCTCAGTGAGTGAGTTCTGGAGGTTCGGAGCTTTCACATTAATGCATCAGCTGGCCAGGCTCAGTTGTGTCTGTAATACCTGTTCAAAATTGTCACACTACGTACTGTTCCTTTAAAAACAAGTCAGCACCTGGATCAATTAACTAGAGAAAAAAAAAGTTCATAGTTCGTTTATTTGTTTATTAGTTTTAACTCAAACTGTATGTTTGAAAAAATAATACCAAACTATTTTTACAATTAGTAAATAATTTTAGTCAAAAATATTGCTTTCTGTGACAATGCACTTCTAATCTGTGGACTGAACACCTTTAACATTGTGAGACGTGCAATGGGGTCAATGCTGGAAAAAGTCTGTCGTCACTGATGTTCTTATAGTTGTTTTG